ATGTATAACCTGTATCGAAATGTTTGCCTTCTTAATGAGGGTGGGTGGGGAGGGAGGAAGGGGAAAAATTTGGAACTCAAAAGTTTTAAAAACACATGTTAAAAATTGTTTTTACATGCAGCTGGGAAATAAGATACACAGGCAATGGGATATAGAAATCTATCTTACCCTACAGGAAAATAGAAGGGGAAGTGGATGAGGGGGGAGGTGATAGAAAGGAGGACTGATTGGGGGAAGGGAAAATCAGAATGCATGCTGTTGTGGGGTGGGGGGAGGAGAGAGATGGGGAGAAAATTTGGAACTCAAAATCTTGTGGAAGTGAATGTTGAAAGCTAACAACAAATAAATAAATAAATTGAAATATGTGGAGGGAAATCATTTATGATGAAGTATTTGAATTAATTGCTCTAAGCGTTTGATAGAATTTACTTTTAAGTTCATTTGGGCCTATATTTTTTCCTTTGAGGTTCATTAATGGCTTGTTCAGTTCTTTTTTTCTGACATTGGGTTATTTAAATTATTTATTTCTTGTTCTGTTAATCGGAGTATTTTATTTTTTGTAAATTTTTAGCCATTTTACTTAGATTGTAATTTTTATTGACATAATTGGGTGAAATTGTTCTTAAGAATTTTTTATATTTCTGGGGAGGGGGAAGAGATAGAAGGGAGGGCAGACTTGGGGAAGGGGTATTCAGAATGCATGCCATCTTGGGGTGAGGGGAGGGGCAAAACGGGGTGAAAATTTGGAATTCAAAATCTTGTGGAAGTAAATCTTAAAAGCTAAAAATAAATTTATATGAGAAAAATAATTTTTTATATTTCTGTATTGGTTGTTATTTCACATTTTTCATTTTTAATGCTGGTAATTTGGTTTTCTTTTTTTAAAATCAAGTTAGTAGTTTGTTTTATTGTGCTTTTTTTTAAGTTCCTAGTTTTATTTGGATTTTTTTCCTTTCAATTTTATTAATCTCTGTTTTTTTTAGGATTTCCATTTTGGCATTTAATGGAGGGAGTGGAATTTGTTGATTTTTTTTTCCAGTTTTTTTTAATGCGTGCTCAACTCATTGGCCTTTTATTAAGTTTTGCTGCATCTCCAAACTTTTAGCATTTTGTCTTACTGATGTCATCATCTTTAAATTATTAAGTGTTTCTGTAATTTGTTCTTAGACCCACACATTCTTTAGGGTTAAGTTTTTAATTTAATTAATTTTTCATTCATCGTAGCCTGTAAAAGATGTTTGCTATTTTTGTTTTTCTGTACCAATGTTTGTGAGTTTTTTTGTGATCTGTTTTCGTGAAGGTGCCATGTAAACCTGAGAAATACACATGCACACACACACACACACACACACACTTTTTATACCTCTTTCTCTCCTCATTTCTGAGCCCAACTCTGGATGTATGCGTTCTTTACTCCTTTGAACAGTTCAGATGACAGTGAGGTTCAAGTGTTGCCTACTCCCTCCACACCCTTTATTCCTTCTACTTGCATGCTACAATTATGTGAGATAAATTGCCCTCTCTTTTCTTTCTCTCTCACTCCCTTTGCTGCCTGCTTCTTCCTCCACTCTCTTTCTACATTTAAGATCATCAAAACATAGTAGAAACACTCCCAGGTCCTCTGTATAATAGATTCCCTCTGTGACCCATGTTAATGATAGAGTTCTGAGGAGATATAGTATCATCTCTCTCTGTCAGAATGTAAGCAAGTTCTCCTTATTTAATCCCTTGTGGTTGTTTGCACGTATTTGTCTTTTTATGTTTTGTTTGACTCCAGTATTTGTATTTCACAATTTTTATTCAGCTCTGGGCTTTTATCATGAATACTTAGAAGTCTTTTTTTTCCATTAAAGGTCCACTTTTTTCCTCTATAAGATTATATTCAGTTTTGCTGAGTAAACTATTTTTCTTTATATATGACTATTTTTTGCTTTCTCAAATATCATATTCTAGGCTCTTTGCTCCTTTATGGTTGTAGCTGCTAAATTGTGTGTGATTCTGATTATACCTCCTCAGTATTTGAATTCTTCTGGCTCTTTGCAGTATTTTTTTTTTTTTTGCTCATGGCTTTCAGATAGTCCAATCGCTTTTAAATTATCTCTCCTGGATCTATTTTTAGGTCAGTTGTTTTTCCAGTGAGATATTTCACATTGTCTTCTGTTTTTTCATTCTTTTGATTTTGTTTTAGAATTTCTTGATTTTTCATAGAGCCATTAACTTCCATTTGCTCCATTCTAATTTTTAAGGAATTATTTTCTTCAGTGAGATTTTGTACCTCCTTTTCCATTTGGCTGATTGTGCTTTTTAAGGCATTCTTCTCATTGGTCTTTTGGACCTCTTTTGCCATTTTTGTTGCCATTGTTTTTCTTTAATAATAGCTAATGTTAACTAATAACTAACATTTATATAACACTTAATATAGGTACTGTGCTAAATGCTTTACAATTATCATCTCATTTGATCCTCACAATAACCCTCTCATTTTAAGAGTTCTGAGTGGTCTTCTTTTATGATTCCTTTAAATATGTATAGGCTCTTTAAAAAAAAAAGTTATGGCTTTCAGGTAGTCCAGTGATTCTTAAGTTATCTCTTCTTGTTTTCCAGGTCACTTTTTCCTATGCAGTACCTTACATTTCTCTCTCCTCTCTCTCTCTCTCTCTCTCTCTCTCTCTCTCTCTCTCTCTCTCTCTCTCTCTCTCTTTTTTTTTACTCAATTTTATTTTAGTATTTCTCATTGCCTCATGGAGTCATACTGTTTATTATTATTTTTAAGTGGTCTCTTCCTTGGACAAGATTTTGTAACTCTTGCACTAAGCTGTTTCCTTTCCAATTTGTTCCTCAATGTCTCTTATTTCTTTCTCCATTTTTTTTTCTTGCTCTCATTTGGTTTATAAAAATAATTTTGAACTTTAAAAAAATTTCTACATCTCATTCAGAAATTCAAGTTGAACTTGTGCCTAAGCAATGTTTTTCTTTCAGCCTTTGCTTATAGATGTTTTGGAGTTATTCTCTTCTAGTGGGTTTTTATCTTGTGCATCTCTGTCACACTAATGGCTCTTAATGTGAGATTCTTTTTTGTTTTTTTGCTCATTCTTCCAGCCTGCTTCTTGACTTCAGACTTTATGTTAGTGCCAGACTTGGCTCACTTCTTTGATGAATGTCTGAATTGAGCTTTTGTTTTCTTGGGTCCTTCTGCTGCTTTCTTTGGGTATTACTTGTTGCGTATTCTGACATCTCAGGAACAGCTCAGGCTAGGGGCCTACAAGCTTTTTAGTCTTCCCAAAGTGATGTGATCCAGGCTGAAGCCTAACCACTAGCCTCCTTTCTGTATTGTTTAAGCTCCTGACCTGGGTTTGATTCTGTTCAGATTGCACCTGGTTGGTGATTCTTGTAGACTGCTGGATTCAGCCACTGTCAGTCAGCTGGAAAAGTGAGGCTGGTTTAGACTGATTGAACTGCAAGCTCCCCTTTGATCTGGGATTCCTGCTCTGGTTATTCCACTGCAGTCTTCAATCCAGACTAGAGGCTGAAAGTGAAACTCTGCTCAGCACCTAAAGTCAGAACCATAAGCTATTGTTCACTTCTGAACTTGTTCCCAGCTCAGTACATAACCTAGGGCTCATGACTGGTCTTTACCATGGAATGCCACCTCACACGCATCTGCTCTTTGGTTTATCTTGGATGTGTGGCGCAGAACTTGCTTAGTGAACAACAGAGCTACCATTTGGCAACTGTTTCCGCACTCTGTAAAGTGTTTCTCACCTCCCCTCCCCACCCCCCAGGCCCTTGTTAATATGAATCTTGGACCTCTTCTCATCATGGTACACGTTCTCAGTCCTTTTTCAGTTCCACGGCATGGTCCGTGCTTTGTGCCCCTGGCCAGACCCTGTCCGCAATGTCAGCAGACCTCTTTCACTGCCTCTCCATGCTATTTGGGCCTGGGGAAAAAAAAGTATCACACTGTAATTTTTTCTTCTTAGATTTCTATATCAGGACTCTGTGGTGTATTTTCTAGATTTTTTTGTGGAGAAGTTAAGTTGGAAGAGCTGGGCTGTGCTCTTTCCTGCTACTTCTGTGATCTTGGCTCCAACCCCAATAGACATTTATTAAGGACTTTACCATGTGCAAAGACTGTGCCAGGCTGTGAATATAAAGAAAAAAATAACAGAAATAAAAGCTAATATTTATATGTGGCTTTTAAGTTTTACAAACTAATTTAGATGCAATATTTTATTTGATCTTCACTATAACCTCCAAAGTAGCCACTGCTGGCATTATTATTCCCATCCTAGAGTTTAGAGAATTTAATTTAGAAATTAATGTGGCTTGCCCATGGTCCACATAGGTAGCTGTGTCAAGAAATAGCATTCAGTCCCATACCACTCAACTCAAAGTCCAGTTCTCTTTTTTACCATGCTGCCTTGATTCACCATGCTTGATTATATGTGCTTAATGAATTTTTTACATTAGCTTCAGAATAAATTCACCAAAATAAAATTGATTGGAAAGTTGAGATTTTTATTGTCCCATTAATCATTTAGTTTGCCTTTGTGAGTATTTGAAAAATCTTCAAAGTGGCATTGGATACTATTGCCGATTTCCTTTCCTTAATTATATTTCCGTTATGACTTTTTTGAGTGAGGATTTCACATATACTGTTTTGCTTGAGGGCATTCAGGTAGATGAGGAAATGTGCTACTATTCCCATTTTATTAATAAGAAAACTAAGACTCATCAAGATTGACTTGTGCTAAAAACCCAGATCTCTTGACTTCTGCCTTTTGTACTGGATTGCACATCATCATCATGTGAAAATCACAAAATCCATATTTCCTGGATGTTTTTCATCTTTATCCTCCATTCAACATACATCAAATTATGTAGATACAAATTTAGGGACCCTATGGGCAAGTGATTCAGTAACATTTACCTAATGGTAAGGAGAGAAACAGACAAACTCATAACACTGCCTACTAACGTTACATTTTTGAATTTTATAGCACCACAAAAATCTCTGGGTCATGAAGTGAATGAATTAACATCAAGTAGGTTATTGAAGTTGGAAATGGAAAATCAGAGTTTGGTGAAGACAATAGAAGAGCTTCGAAATGCTGTGGATTCTGTAGAAAGCAGTAATTCCAAAATTTTGAAAATTGAAAAAGAAAACCAAAGACTTAGTAAGAAGGTAATGTGTACATTTATATGTATGTGTGTATGTACACGTGTACGTATATATAATATACTACTGTGATATTAATAGAACCAGTACTTTTTTAGCCTTTTATGTGACTTGAATTTTAACTACATTTCAGTAATACAGAAATATGCCAGTACTGAAAAATTTAATAAAGTAATTAATGGTAATAAGATTTGAAATTTAATGTTGTATTCAAATATAGTAAGTGCTTGAAATTGTCATTTTTGGAGCCACGTAGAATTTTGAATATTATTTCATTGTAGTCTGGTCAAATATGAGTCAAATATCATTCTGAAATGGCTTTTAAATCTATTTAATTAAATATACCTCAAAGAATTATTTCTTTTTAACTTGAGCATTTAAATTTAGTTGCTTATTTGGGTTTATTTCCCAAATTTTTTTTAATCTTTTTAGTATGGAGCAACAAATAACACCTGGTTTAACAAATGTTTTTATGCATAGATTTCAATATTTACTATAGTAGTAGAATTGGATTAAGTTTTTTTTAAGAAATATAGGACCAACCTGCAAATATAAATGAAATTTGTATTCGTATTGTTGGATTTGATTTGTGATTTGAAACTGCTATTGCCTTTGGAGTATAATAAACTTTTATTATGAATATTATTAAGAATGAAGTGGAAGACCCAAACCACTTAAAGAATAAATTTTTAAATTTAATGTTTTTTACTACTAACTGGAAGCATTTATATAATTTTAAGCCTATTGAAAAATACAAACTATGTAAAAGTACTGATTTTTTTTGCCTTTCTTAAATATGTTGAATAACTGGCATATATTTAGAAAAATGACTCCTCTAAATCTATAATATAGCCTACTTTGAGCTAACATATCTTGCTATATGCATATATATTAAATATATAAAATATGTGCCTTGTATATTGTATATATTATATATATATATATATATATATATATGTTTAACTATAACTGAAAATAGAAACCAAATAGAAATAGAAACCAAATAGAAAATAGAAACCAAACTTAAACATTTACTAAAATTGGATCCAAACCTCTTTTCCTTCTTTTGTAACATTTTCCTCCCTTTCTCTTATTTCCTTTTTCCATTTTCACTTCATTCTTACTTCTTCTTTTACCCTTAACACACTTCAGCATTTCTTTACAGTCTTTCCCCACTTTTTTCTCTTTTGCTTCCTTCCTTTCCTTCTGTTTTTATTTCTTGAGATGTAAATGTCTCAACTCCAAAAATCATGTCAAGACAAGAACACAAAATGAGTAATTGTTTCAGCTTTAATAATGATTGCTTGTATCAGTTAGCATGCAGCCACCACACATTCAGCTTGAATTTTCCCATTGTACTTAGTACTGAATCTTTAACCATGAAGAAAGTTTGAAGATAACCATACATAAATGTTCTTAATATAATCTCTGAACTTCCTTTTAAATATTTAAATGTTTATCACTTTATTGTTAAATCTGAGTTGTCTTTTGTTTTATTACAGTTTAGAAACTATAAAACTATTCAATACTCTCTTATGGGTTTTTCTCCTAGCTGGAAGGTCTTGAGAATGAAATTATTCAAGAAAAACAAAGTCTTCAAAATTGTCAAAATCTGAGCAAAGATCTAATGAAGGAGAAAGCGCAGCTGGAAAAAACCCTTGAAACGCTTCGAGAAAATTCAGAAAGACAGGTCCATCAATTTTCTAGTATTTAAGTAAACTAAGTATTTTTAGCCTCCTTACAAAAAGTGTTTTAAAGCACAGATAAACCAAATACTCATAAGCCGTTAAGATGTTTTTTACAATATTATATTTTTAAAATATTATATATTTTAAAGTAAGGGTAGTTATGAGTTTATATGTATACTTTTATGGAGCACCTCGGTTTTTCAAACAATGAAGGAAATAAATGTTAGAGATCATCTAGTCCAGAGGCTTTTAAACCTTTTTTGGACAAAGAGCTGCTTTTAATTCCTCAAAGCCTTAAGATCAGTCTGTGGAGTAAGGACAAAATACAGAGAAGGGGAACCCAAAATGTAGACAGGTGTGGTTGCAACTATCAGCTTACTATTCATTTAGAAATGATTGGTAAATGCTGATCTGTGGGTTGGGTACCCACTGTTTAGGCTAATGTTATTTTGTACATGGGGAAGCTGAAGTCCACAGAAGTTTGGTAGCTTGCCTGAGGTCACGTAGCTAAGTAGTGGCAAAGCCAACATAGAAGTCAAGTTTTCTCACTCCCATTACAGTAAACTGCATTGCATGGTGTTGCAAATAAAATTTTTTCTTAATCATACTAGAAATCTTATTGGGAATTCTTTTTAAAGAATTTGTAAATAAATTACCCACAAATATATATTTGTGTATATTTATATTTGTACATATGTTGTGAGGCATATCTCTAATGTATGTATGTGTATATCTTTTATTTTCAGCTTAAATATTTGATTGAGCTTCACAATATATAACAATAAATGGATCTGAAAGTCTTTTTGAAAAAACATTAAATATCTTTTATATTCCATTAACTACATTGTGAGCTTTTTGAGGGCAAAGATCAATTTTTACAACCTCTAGGTATACTCTATGCACACAGTCTCAATAAATAATCAAATGACCAAGGCATAATTGGGCCTTACATGTACCACTTCACCTTATTACTCATTCAGGATTAAAATTAATTCTTAGTTGTTATAGCACTGACAATTTTTATTTTTTTCTGAATTAGATTAAAATACTGGAACAAGAAAATGAGCATTTGAATCAAACTGTAGCATCCCTAAGGCAGCGATCACAAATAAGTGCTGAAGCAAGGGTGAAAGACATTGAGAAAGAAAATAAAATCCTACATGAATCTATTAAAGAAACAAGCAGCAAATTAAACAAGATTGAATTTGAAAAGAGACAAATTAAAAAAGAATTGGAACATTACAAAGAAAGAGGAGAAAGAGCAGAAGAACTTGAGAATGAGTTGCATCATCTTGAAAAGGAAAATGAATCATTACAAAAAAAGATAACTAATCTAAAAATTACCTGTGAGAAAATTGAGACCTTAGAGCTAGAAAATTCTGAACTGGAAGTGGAAAACAGAAAGTTGAAAAAGACATTAGATAGCTTAAAAAATTTTACTTTTCAACTAGAATCCTTGGAGAAAGAAAATTCTCAACTAGATGAAGAGAACTTGGAATTAAGGAGGACAGTGGAATCTTTGAAATGTGCAAGCATGAAAATGGCTCAACTACAGTTAGAAAATAAAGAACTGGAAAGTGAAAAAGAACAACTTAAGAAGGGTTTAGAGCTCATGAAAGCTTCTTGCAAGAAAACCGAACGTTTGGAAGTTAGCTACCAGGGTTTAGATACTGAAAACCAAAGACTGCAGAAAGCTCTAGAGAATAGTAATAAAAAAATTCAGCAATTAGAAAGTGAATTACAAGAATTAGAAACAGAAAATCAGACACTGCAGAAAAATCTTGAAGAGTTAAAAATATCTAGTAAACGGTTAGAACAATTGGAAAAGGAAAACAAACTATTAGAGCAAGAGACTTCTCAACTAGAAAAAGATAAGAAACAACTGGAAAAAGAGAATAAACGACTCCGACAACAGGCAGAAATTAAAGATATCACGTTGGAAGAAAATAATATTAAAATTGGAAATCTCGAAAAGGAAAACAAAAGTCTTTTCAAGGAAATAGGTGTGTTTAAAGAATCCTGTATCCGTCTCAAGGACCTAGAGAAAGAAAACAAAGAACTTGTGAAAAGAACAACCATTGACAAAAAAACTCTTATTACTTTACGTGAGGTAACTCTTTTAATTTCCTAATTGCAAAAATATAGAGTTGAGCTGCACATATGCACTCATATTCCTTAAAATTTAATATAATATATACACTTGTGACTTTTAGAAGCAGTCATTGTTTTAAATATTTATTCATCTGTAAAGTCTAAACTCATAGAATTTGCTAGCAAGCTTTCCCAAATTGCTTGCTTTAAAAAACCACACAAACTGAGAAAGTATTTTCATTAAAATACTAAATAAAAATCTTAATGAAGTTTTTATATAACCACTTGAACCTTAATTGGTAATTCAGAATCTGCATTTAAAAATAGTTAATGTGTTGGCCTGTTAGGTTATGCCAGATGTTGTAATAGGAGGTGATGTTTACTTTTCCAACTTAGTAAATTAATAAATAAATACATCAGTCCACCAAATAGGACACTACTATTCCCAAAGAGGAAAAAGTCATTTAAAAAATCTCTATTAGTTTTTCTTATAGATGAGTTCTCTTGGAGCCTTCTTGATAGAAAAGAACTGAGACTGTTAGCCTCTTATTCTTTGCCATCTCTTCTACAGAGTATGGAATTTCTAAAGGTGGTCCTTTGAGTTTTCTTACTATGCTCAAAGCATGTATTAAGAGCTTTTCTCAAGTGTCAAGATCTAATGGCTTTTATACCCTCTTTTCCACTTTCTAGAAAGAAATTATGTAATATATTCCCAGAGATTAATTTGAACCCTGGCAATTTCTGACACATTATTGAATAGTGAATAAATATGTTTGTGATAATTTTCAGACCTAAATTATATGTAGAAATCTCATTTGTGCTTTAGTTTTGGTTTTAACATTGAGGAGAAAAAGGGATGTTTTGCCAAAAGAGAGGTAGGAAGTAATTAAGATTTTTCTACTTCAATTTAAGACTATTTTTTTTCCCCATTAAATATATAGTAATGATATGGAATGAAAAGTTCTTGAAGACTTCCTTTTTTCTTTTGAGCATTTGTAGATATCTTCAGTGAGAATAGACGTTGGTTTTGATTGCTTAGAAAATTTTGTGTGCTTTCTAGTCGCATTATTTATTTATTTATTTTGAATTTTCTTTTTGGATAAGGATTTGGTGAGTGAAAAATTGAAGACTCAACAAATGAATAATGATCTAGAAAAACTTACTCATGAACTTGAAAAGATAGGGTTAAATAAAGAACGTCTCCTGAGTGATGAACAAAGTACTGATGATAGGTGAGTCATATTGATTATTCATCAATAATATAATTCAAATATCCACTTTCTTCTTACTGAAACTTTGGGGCAGAGGGCAGGGGAGGAAGGGTATATATTTCCTGAAAATAGGAAGCATAGAATAATGTAATTTTTAGATCCAGAAGATTCCTAGAGATCCCCGCCACTTGATTTACAAATGAAGAAACGAGTCAAATGTATTAACTCACATTTGAACTAGAATTGTGGTCTACTTATCCCTATGAGGTGCACTTCCCATACAGTATATTACCTGGTATATACATTAAGGAACACAAACTATCTTTATTCCCTGCTTTTCTCTTTTTCCTCCCATGGCAGAAAAGTTTTGCAAGAAAAAATTTTTATGACATCAGAAGAATTGTGTGTGTGCATAGAAACACATTTACTAAAAAATTACTGTTGTTAAAAAAAGATAAAATTTTAAGTAGGCTAAATATAAAATAATTTTCATAAATTACACATGCAAAATACTATTGCTAATAAATAGTCATATAAATATTCACGGATGAATTACGGTTTGATTAATAGAATTTTGTTTTGGTCATGGGGAGAATATGTTAAGACCTCAGAATACTTATTTGTGATACTTTTTTTAGATAGTCTATAGTAGCAAAATGAATCAAAGCAGTAACCTAGATATTTCAAACCAAATAATTATTGCTGCCCTAATTATACGGCCAATTCAGGTGAAAATTTTTTGTCCTTGTTTGTCTGAGTAATTGGTGGCAGATTTGGTATTGACCCTATTAAAAAAAAATTAAAAACCACTTGCCATTTCATATTATTTACAAAAGCCTTCCTTTTTTATTACTTTACTTTTAAAATTGCATTTCCTTTTAGTATGAACTTAATTATCAATAAGCCCAAACTAAATCGGGAGCTATGCTAGCTATTGTGGGATTTAGTACAGTGCCTATCCACAAGAAATTTCAATCTAGTATTGTCAATGCAATGAAGGTAGGATGACAGGACGAAATGTATGCAGGTGGAGTGAGCAGTAGAGATGGCCTCAAGAGTGTTTACACATAATTCATTGAAGATAGTATTTGAAAAAGTGCTGGTATACTAATTAAACTAGTCAGTATGTGATGATTAAGAGGTTTTTGTGTGGTTACAGTGTAGGAGCAAAGAGACTTACTAGTAAGACTCCTTGAGTGGCGCCAGGGCCGTGCGCTCAGTCTGAGCATTTTCCCTTTGTGTCTGTGTTTCTGTGTGGCTAGCCTTTGATTTAGTGGGGAAGAATGTTGCCGGGAGCCTGAATGATAAGTATGTGTCCTCTCTAGCTTGTTTATATGTGGGTCCTTGATAGTGTGGTTGTGCTGTCCCAGAGTCAAAACATAGATCACATTGAAAGGGAGGCTGAGTAATATTGAACTCTGTCTTAGTTTCAGTCTAAACCTGTGTAATCTGACTTACTCCCCGTTCATTGGGAGAAGCATGTGCTATCACAGGGACTAAGTCATAACTAATGAAGAAGAGAGCCTTTGTTTTAAAGTACTTAATAATAAAACAAGGCAGAATGTGTTAATTTTGAATCAGCATGCCCACTGTTAACATGTTTTTGCAAATAGTGTGTTAAATAAAACAGTAATTTATTGAGTACCTACTGTGTGCAGGACTAAATCTTTTTTATCACAAAAGTCCCTTTTCTTTTAACTTTCTTCTTACTAGCTAAAAAAGAACAGTGTACTGAGAAGTTTGTGTTTAGAGTACAGATTCTCAAATCAGTGTGGTGGTAAAAACTGAAGTAGAACAATGTGCTTTCATGCTGTTACCTCAAGCCTAATGACAATTTAAAAGGAGTTAGTATGTTTTGAAAGACTGATGGCTATCATCCTGAGCTGATGGTTAAATGACTTGTTCGTCTATTGTGAATAGTAGGTACAAGCTTTTGGAGTCAAAATTAGAGTCCACACTAAAGAAATCCTTGGAAATAAAGGAAGAAAAAATTGCTGCTTTGGAAGCTCGATTAGAAGAATCAACTAATTTTAACCAGCAACTGCGCCAAGAACTTAAAACAGTAAGTACAGCATTTAAGTTTTTTATTTAAATTTAGGACATTTTATATAAGTTAAGTTAAAAAATGAAGCACAAAAATCTGAATTGTCTTTTTCCAAAGCCAAGAAAAGGTGTTAAGGTATTTTTCAAATACTTAACATTGACTTTATGGAAACCTGTTAAAGTAGAATCATAGAACATCTGGAATAGTTTTATTAAGAATAAGATATTTACTCTTTATAGTATTTTTATAACAAACTAAATACATAGATTAGAATGTGGAAGATCTAGACTGGAGTAAAACTTCATTATTTTCAAGTATAATTTAATCACCTGGATATTTACAGTATTTATTTGTACATGTAAACCAGAGACTAGGATTAATACTGTTTATGGAAAAGGAACAAAAAAACCCTTAAAGCTTTATGTATCATATAATGAATCAGAGTCTCACAATTAAGAAAGTGAAAGCAGTGTCTTAATTTTGGAAGGTTAAAGAAGCTATTAAAGTCAATAGACATTAAGAATATGTGTAATAAAAGAAAGAGGGGATAGACGGTTACTATTGAAGAGGACATATATGGTCAAAATAAAGTATCAATGAAGAAGAAGCAAGGAATGTATTCTTCCAACTGAAAAACTCTTCTTAGGATGTATACATTCATTGCCTTTCATATACAAACACAATATGATTCTTGAAGTACAGAAGCCATTTCAAATCTAATAAAGTTAGGAGACTGGGGGATAAATTACTATGAAATATAGTTGCCAAAAGGGGAAGGAAATTAAGGCAGCCTTCTCTTGGCGTTCTAATGTTAAAAGCAAGAAATTTGGAAAAGTCAGGTCTGCGAACGTGTAACAGACCACCAGCCTAGTGGTTTGATATTAAAATTCCATCTCTATTTTGTCATCCTTCTCTGTTTTCTTCCCTCATTACAGTACTCTACATAAGCTTGCTTTAATCCTGCACTATATATTGAAACATATTAAACATTTTCATATTTTGCTCATTGTAAATCTTAAAACACATTGAGAAAGTTGTAATAAGTATTTTCTGGGAAAATAAATGACGGATTCCCTATTCTTAAATACTGTTAATAGGGCTTGGAATAGTTGCTCTTCTAAGGAAAGTATAAATTGATGAAAATTATTAACTTAACTAAAGTAAGAGTACATTGGAATGTAATCCTACATTGCCTCTGTATGTTAAAATTCTTCTTTTGCTCCAGAGTTCAACTCAGGTGGTACCTCTTTCATAAAGCTTCCTTGATCCCTCCTAACTGAAAGTATTCTAACCCTCTTTAGGTTTTCCAAGAGTACTTTTAATCTTTTATTTATTCTTACTACACCCTATCATGTTTATATTTATATTTCTACATGTGTCTCTATTGAAATGTAAGCTTTATGAGGGCAGGGACTGTGTCATCTTTTAACTTTGGATCCCCAATACATCACACAGTGCCTTGCCACACTTGAATGTTTGTTGACATGCTTTTAATTTCTTTTTGTAGATCTTTGCAGTTGCAAAACCACTCCATTGGGAACAAACTTGTGGAGTAGGTAGGCTGATAGTTTGCTGTAGTGCAACAAAGTTTAATGTGCACGCACGTGCATGCATACACACACATACACACACACACACACAACACACACACACACACACACACACACACACACACACACACACACACAAGAGGAATGAACCAAAAACAGATTTTTGATTTAAAAAGCCTAAGTTCAAATACCAGCTCCTTTTTAGCTCTGTGTGGAAATTACTTAATCTGGCCTCATCTCTGTCATCTGTAATGATGGGTATAATAATACAGATATACCTTGGAGATACTGCGAGTTTGGTTCCAGACAACTGCAGTAAAGCAAATAGAGTCACACAGATTTTTTGGTTTCTTAGTATATATAAAAATTGTGTTTATACTATATTGTAGTCCATTAAGTATGCAGTAGCATTATGTTTAAAAAAATGTGTATAACTGAAAAACACTTCATTGCTAAAAAATATTAACTATGATCTGAGCCTGCAGTGAGTTGTAATATTCTTGTTGGTGGAGGGTCTTGCCTCAGTATTGATGGCTTCTGACTGATCAGGGTGAGGGTTACTGAAGGATGCAGTAGCTGTAGTAATTTCTTAAAGTAAGACAAAAATGAAGTTTGCCACATTGATTTGCTCTTCCTTTCATTTGAACACTTGCAGGCACTTGTAGGATTACTGATTGGTCTAATTTCAATATTATTGCATCTCAGGGAAGGGAAAGCCTGAGGAGAGGCAGAAAGGTGGGAGAATGGCAGATTGGTAGAGCAGCCAGAACACATACAACGTTTATTGTTTTAAGTTTACCGTCTTATATGAGCATGGTTTGTGCCACCCCAAAACAATTACAGTAGTAACATCAAAGGTCACTGATCACAGATCACCTTAACAGAAGGTTGACTGTTCTAGGCATGAAGGACAAGCTAGTAAAAATGCCTTCAGTTGGAAGATGAAGTGTCTTATTCAAAGAATAACAAGGAGACTGGTATCACTGGGTCACAGAGTACATGGTAGGGAGTAAAGTGTAAGAAAACTGGAAAGATAAGAAAGGGGTCAGGTTATCTAGGTTGTTGAATGACAGAGGAGGTCAGATCTGCAAATCCAAAGATTAATTTGACAGATGAACCCGGATAAACTGTATTCAGAAGAGATGAGTCAGAAAGACCTGAGATGATGAGAACCTGCACAAGGCGATTGCAGTACCAGAGGAGCAAAAGAGGGGGTATGTACAAGAGATGCTAGAAAGGTAGAATCAACAGGACTTTGCAACTGATTGATTATGGGAGGTGGGAATTGATGAAAGAGATTGTAAGCCTGCGTGACCAGGAGAGTAATGGTGGCCTCACCATTGAATATGGGGAGGGTTTGGGCAGAAAGATAATGAGTTCAGTTTTGAACATATTGAGTTTAAGATGATGTCCATAGGACATCCAATTTGAAATGTGCACCAGGCATTTGGAGATGTGAGTCTGAGGGTTATGAGAAAGGTTGATTTTCATCCATCCAACTCCACTAGCAATTGTTTTATTATATCTCTCTTCCTTTCTGTAGCTAAAATTCTTCGGAAAGCTATTTACAACAGATGCCTCCACTTCCTTTCCTCTCATTCTCTTTTGTCAGCTCTCTACATTCTGGCTTTCAACATCACCATTCAACCAGAACTACTCTGTTCAAGATTCTGAATGATATAATTGCCAAATCTATTGGCCTTTTCTCAGTCTCATCCTTCTTTAGCTCTCTGTAGGCTTGACACTGTCAATCACCCTCTTCTCTTTGATGGTCTCTTCTCTGTAGGTTTTCAGGACACTATGCTCTCCTGGTTATCCACTTCTCAAACTTATTTGCTGAATCTTTATCTAGGTCATGCCAGCTAACCATGGGTGTGCCCCGAGGCTCTCTTCGGGTTCCTCTTCTCCCTTTGTACTATTTATTTCACTTGATATTCTCAACGTCTCCCATGGGTTGGATTATCATCTTTATGCTGATGATTCTCAGATTTACTTGTACATTCCTAAACTCTCTGGTGACCTCTGGTCTCATGTTTCCAATTGCTTTTTGGACAACTTGAACTGGATATCCAGTAGACATCCTAAACTGTAATGTCAAAATAGAATTCGTTATCTTTACCCTGAATATCTACCCTCTTACAAACTTCTGTAGTACTGTTGAGGGTATCAGTACCCTCCCAGTCCTCCAGGTTCACATCCTAGGTGTCATCCTTGACTCCTTGCTCTCTCTCGCCCCCCCCATTCTGATTCATTGCCAAGGTCTATTGATTTTACGTTTGCGACATCACCTGCATATTCTCCCTTTCACTCTTCTGACACTGTCACCACCCTGGTACAGACCCTAATCATGGCTGGACTATTAAAATAACCTTCTGATTGTCCTGCTTTCCACAAGCCTCTCCCCCATTCCAGTCCATGTTAAATCACAGATATAACCCTTTCTCTCTCTGTTTCTCTCTCTCTTTCTCTCTCTCTCTCTCTCTCTCTCTCTCTCTCTCTCTCTCTCTCTCTCTCTCTCTCACACACACACACACACACACACACACACACACACCCACACCCCTCTTTGTAAACTCCATTGGTTCCCTATCATCACCACCATCAAATATAAAAATCTTTTTGAAATTTAAAATCCTTTATAACTTTCTCATTCCCTCCTCCCCCTCCCCCTCATCATCTCATACACATACACCTTTCCAACCTTCTTATACTTTACAGCCTCACCAGATGTATTCTGTGATCCAGTGACACTTGCTTCCTAACTTCCTACTGCAAGATTCCTTCCATTTCCTGATTCTGTGCATTTTCACTGGCTGTCTACAGTGCCTGGAATGTTCTCCCTACTCATCTTTAGTCTTCCCTCTAGTTTTAACCAAAATCCTACCTTCTTCAGAAAGCCTTTAGCCATCCCCCTTAATTCTAGCACTTTCTCTCTGTTGATTATTCCCAATTTATCCTCTACATAGCTTGTGTGTATATAGTGGTTTGCATATTATCTTCTCTGTTAGACTGTGAGCTCCACAAGAGCAAGTATGGTTTTTTGCCTTTCTTTGTATCCCCAACACTTAGTATAGTGCCTGACACATAGTAGGCCTTAATGTTTAATGACTCACTGACAGAATAAGTTGGTATAAGAATCTATGAGAGGTGATGAGATCATAAAATGATATAGAGAGAAAGGAGAAAAGGGCTCAGGGATAGTATTGCAGGATACCTACAGCTGGATGACACAGGGTTAAGAGAGCGAGCAGAAAGAAAGTAGAGATAAATATTGTCATCAGTCTTCTCAAGGAGTTTAGCTACAAAGGAGAGAAGAGATATAGAATGATAGGTATGGGGTGGATCAATCAAATAGGGTTGATTTAGGATGGGGGAGAATTGGCCTCATTTATAGACAGTAAGGAAGGAACCAGTAGAGAGGGAGAGATTGAAGATAAAGGAGATAGATGGGTGAGAGAGAGGACAATCTGCTGAAGGATGGAATGTGGTCACTTGCTCAAGTAGAGGGGTTTGCCTTGACAAAGAAATGGGCCTCTTCTTCATGTGTAATAGGATAAAGGAGGAGATAGAAGCAGAAGGCAACTAAGGGATGTGAGGGGAGAAGTGGAGAAGTGGGAGTTCTTAGGGATTGACTTCAGTTTTTTCACTGAATTGAGAGGCATAATTCTCAGCTGAGAGGGTGGAAGGTATGGAAGGTTTGAGAATGGATGAAAAGGTTTGGAAAACCTGCTGTAGTGAACAATAGTGAACTAATTAGGACAGTGTGAAAGGGATTGCTTTGGCAAATATTTATTAGACATTTTTTATAAAAGAATTTGAGGGCAGCTAGGTGGTCCAGTGGATAGCACGCTGGCCTTGGAGTCAGGAGGCCCTAAGTTCAAATTTGGTTGCAGACTAGACACTTGACACTTACTAGCTGTGTGACCCTAGACACGTCACTTAACCTTACTTGCCTCACCAAAAATATAAATAAATAAAAATAAAAGGATTTGAGCATGTGCACATCACTTTTGGGGAGGGGTGATATGAGGTTATTTACCAACTATTTTTTTAAATTACAGGAAATTAGATTCCAATCTTTTGCCTTTTTGTATCTCAAGTGCTTAGCACACAGTAAATACTTAATAAAGGTTTATTGATTAAAATATATTAGAACTCAATAGGTCTCAAGAAAAGAAAGTTTCCAGTTTTAGCACAATCTAACTTGGATTATCTTAAACCAGAGGTTTCACTATAATTAATTTTACATGTATGTCTTTTTTAAAAATATAATTCAAATCTATTGGACAAGTAAAAAGGATAATACATAGAATGGAGTTCTTGTCCTTGATTCTCAAAGAAGATAAAATAACATCACTATGTCAGAGTTGAGTTACAATGTGCCCGACTGTGCTTGATCTGACCATTACAAGCTCAGAATGCTCTACCATAGGTCAGTCACAAATACTCCATGTGAACATTTGGGGTGGATCCTCTAAGTTTGTACATCTTGAGTTTCTTTTGAGCTACTACAATTCTGCTTCGCTCATAGTGCACATCACCTTCTCTGATGAGGGCATTCCAAGCTGGGTGGTCCTGTGCCAGTGTCTCCCATGTCGCACAATCGATTCCAAAGTTCTTGAGAGACCTTGAAAGTATCTTTGTATCACTTCTTCTGACCACCATGTGAGCGCTTGCCCTGTGTGAGTTCTTCATAAATAGTCTTTTAGGCAAGCGCACGTAGAATATATAGAATAGTACTTACAGGATATAAGTCTTTAAAATGTAATTTTGATAGCAGGAAAGTTTTTGTTTGGGTTTTGTACAACCATTGTCTAGGTCAGGGGTGGGGAACCTGTGTCCTTGAGGCCACGTGTGGCCCTCTGGGTCCTCAAGTGCAGCCCTTTGACTGAATCCAAACTTCACAGAACAAATCCCCTTATTAAGGGGATTTGTTTTGTAAAACTTGGACTCCATCAAAAGGACGCACCCAAGGACCTATGGAAGGCCACAGATTGCCTCCAGGCTGTAGATTACCCATCCCTGTCTTAGGTTGAGAGAGTGCTGTAGTCAAAGGAAAGGGTTCACAGGTATTTTAAAAAAAATCCAGAGGGATAAAATAGAGGTGAAAGCAATGGTCAGATTGAGGGCAGAGGTATGTTATGGAGCTAACAGTAATTAATATGGTAACAATGAGAGGCTATGTGGTGTAGTGGGTAGAGCTGGCTTCGAAATCAGGAAGACATGGTTTGTTTTGACTATGTGACGCTGAACTTATCCCAGTGACCTATTAAATCAATAATTGGCAAATCAGGGGCTAATTTAAATTGGTAAAAGGAGTTCCCTTACTAGGTGTTCTTACACCAATGAAATCACAACTATGGTTTAAAATGATGATTAGTGTGATGGCTAGCATTCTTATAGTTTTAAATTTTAAAAATATTTAGCTTATAAGGTCTTGCAGATTGCTTTATATACAGCATTTCATTTATCCTCACAACAACTCAATGATTTAGGGGTCTTTTGTTATCTTTATTTTTACAAATGAGAAAACTTGACCTGGTATAAAGAAGAATTAGAACCTGGGGATCATCCTGACCCTGAAGTCCAGCCCTCTGGCTGTAAGACCACACAGCACCTCTCATTGGGCAGGCAGTGTGATCCAGGGGTAGAATTCTGAATTCAAAATCAGAATACTGACTCTATTCTATATTTGTGGAGTCACCTTGGGAAAAGCATTTTACAGCTCTGTGGGCCTCAGCGTAGGCATCAGTCAAAATGGACTCTCTGTGACTCCTGAAGGAGGTGTTTGCCATCTTTCCCAATCCCTGTTGGCTCAGCCATGGAAGGTTCAGATAGGAAGGACTTCAGAGATGGTTTAGTTTACCCCTTTCCTTGAGGAAAACTGGTGACCCAGAGAAGACATTGAGCAGACCTAGGGCTAGAGTGTAGGCCTCCTGAATCTTAGCACATCGTCACTTTCTTTCCTCCTACACAGACGTGAGGGCAGCTAGGGGGCACCCTAGTACATAGAGTGCCTGCCCTGGAGTCGGGAACTGTTGTCTTCATGAGTTCAAATTCTGCCTTTGACACTTACTAGCTATGTGACCTTGGGCAAGTCACTTAACTCTGTTTGCTTCAATTTTCTCATCTGGAAAAAGGAACTAGAAAGGAAATGACAAACCGGTCCAGTATCTCTGCTAAGAAAACCCCAAATAGGGTCATGAAGAATTAGACAAGACTAAATAAAAACTGACCTTAATAAATACTAACCTAGCCCTTATCCAGAGGTTCCCAAACTTATTTAGTGTATTGCCTCCTTTAAAAAAAAAGAATTATTCAGTGCCCCCCTGGAAATCTACAGTTTTTTGGAATTTGTGACATTTCAAAAAAAATATTTTTAAAAAGTTTTAAAATTATGTGTCTTAAATTTAATAATTTATTATGAATTTGTAGAGGCTTTCCTGCATTAAAATTTCAGTGATGCAGTATTGCATCATGTAACCATATAGTATCATGTTGTAAACAAGTCATTACATGCACATGTTGCTGCCCATGTGTGCTGGACTTTAAAACAATGCACAACACGCTTGCCTGTTAACACTTGCTTGTTAAGACCTGTTGGCGGACTCGATCACTGATTGGTTATTACTTGCATTTTGTGTGTTTATTTGGAAAATAATGTAATCACTATGACTTTAACTCTGTTACACAACAAATGGAACATGTTTTCAAAATTTACTTCTCTTCTTTCCGTATGCTTCCACCACCCACTTATTTTTATTCAACCCCCCCCCAGTTGCACCCAAGGCAACTCCCCCTCCCCCCCATCGTTCCAGTGCTCCTCAGGGGGCAGTACGGCCCATTTGGGAACTTCTGGCCCTAGCAGAATACATGATAAATATGTTCATTTGAATCGACAATAAGGAAAATAATTTTTAAAGTGGGTAATTTTTTCCATTTTTTAGGTGAAAAAAAATTACGAAGCTCTTAAACAAAGGCAAGAGGAAGAAAGAATGCTGCAGAATTCTCCTCCAAGATCTGGTGATGATACTAAATGGGAAAGAGAAAGTCAAGAGACAACTAGAGAGCTTTTGAAGGTTAAAGACAGGTTAATTGAGGTGGAGAGGAATGTAAGTATATTTTTATTTTATTAGAATTTATTGAATTAAGGTATATAAATGTTAAAGATTTCTGAAAGTATAAGTCAGGAAGTTTACCTTATTTTTCTTCCTTTACTACTTCATTTTAAAAATATCTATTATAAGTTTTACCAGATAATCTCAATATTCTTAAGACTTTAACAAAAGTTTTTTAAAGTTAAAACAGCAAAGTGAATGACATTTCATAACAGTAGTTATTGTTTTCATATATTAAACTTAAATATAAAATAACAAAAAAACCCCAAAAAAGTCATGTGCACAGCAGAACATAGAAGAGGATTCAAAATATATAGCAATGACTTGTCATTTCAAGAAAGCCTATATATTAAATACTGTGCATTATATTGAAAGCTGTCCATCTTTTCTTTGCTTCCTTGTAGATTTTCTTTTGTTCTCTGCTGTACACTTTTTACTTTGTTTTTTCTCCCCCTTCACCCTCCCACCACCCTCTACCCCAAGGCTGCAATTGAGCACTGAATATATTTACATGTAGGTATTGATATATACATACATTTATACATATATATCCACATACATACATATATAAACATATGCTTTCCCTAAGAAATTCTAGTACTAATATTTATGTTTATGCATATCTTTTTTTCCTCTCTCTCCTAACTCCTCTACTTTACTTCTACATACTACCTTACCCTCCTATTACTTAATCTACCCCCATGCCAGCAATCCCTCCCTTAAATCTAAACCTCCTTCTATATCTCCCTTTAAACCTATTCCTACACCCTCCCTTCTAAAGATCTTTCCTTTATCCTCTCCTCCTCCCTATCCCCTTAGAGTTTTCTTTCTAAATTTAGAAGATTTTTATACTCTTCTAAATGTATGTATGTTCTCCTCTTAAACCCATTCTCTATGAGAGTAGGTTTCCAGAACTAATAGCACCCCTCCTCTATCTAATTCTTCTGTATTGGTTCTTCCTCTTATACCTCATTTGTAAAAAATAATTACTGTTTTAGCTGTATTTGAATGGTTTTACTTTTTGAAGTCATATTGTACTCAGGTCTATCCCAGTCTTCCTTATAAGTTATCTAACTACTAATAACAATCTTAGACATAGGTTTTACATTTTTTCATACATAAAAGGTAAATATTCTATCCTTGTTTAGTCTCTTGTATTGGTCATTGGTATGTACTTTATATTTCTCTTGGCTCTTGTATATTAAATCTTCTATTGAGTTCAGGGTTTGTTTTTTTAACAGAGACCTGAAAGTCTGACAGTTGATCAAATGTCCATTTTTTTTTTCATTTAGAATTATACTTAGCTTTGCTGGGGTATGATATTTTTGACTGCAAGCCCAGTTCTTTTGCTCTTCGATATATAATGTTCCAAGACCTGTGATCTTTAGTGTCTCCACTGCTAGGTTTTGTTCATGATTCTAATTGTGGCGCCATCATATGTAAATTGTTTTTTTCTTGTTGCTCATAATATTTTGTCCTTGATGTGGGGATTTTGGAATTTGACTATAATGTTCCTGTGAGTTTTCCTCATAGGATCTCTTTGAGGTAGTGATTAGTGGGTTTTTTCTATTTCTACTTTCCTCTCTTGTTCTAATGCTTCAGGACAATTTTTTTTTAATTATTTCTTGTATTATTATATCAAGATAGTTTTGTTTTTGATCAGAACTTTCACGTATTCTTAGGTTTTCTCTTTTTTATCTGTTCTTTAGATTTTGTTGTTTTTCTTATGAGATGTTTCATATTCTCTTCTATTTTTTCATTCTTTATATTTTGTTTTTTCATTTCTTCATCTGTTATAACTTCGCTGGCTTCCCCTTTGCCCAATTCTGATTTTCAGAGCATCATTTTCTTCCTTAAGATTCTGGATCTCCTTCTCTTATTGGTTGACTTTCTTTTCATAATCTTCTTATTTTTCTTGTATTAGTTTTTTCTTATTTTTCTTTTTAGTTTTTCCTCAATCTCTCTCATTTGATTTTTAAAGTCTTTTTTAAGTTCTTCAATGAATTCTTTTTGGGCATGTGACCATTTGACATTAGTCTTTGAGGTAGAAGAGGGTTTCTTTGCTTCAGTATCCTCCTCTGAAGACACACCCCATCTTCTCTATTCCCATAGTAGCTCTGTATGGTTGGATTCTTTCTCCTTTGCCTGTGCATTTCTTTTTTTTATAATAGTTTAGTTTTTATAATCACCTCTAGTCCTGAGGTATGGGGGATGGCGCCTCTGGCCTCTAATCCTCTTCAGTTATCCCTTCTCACCTTGAACTCAAACCAAGACCTCCAGCCTCATGTAAATGCCCACAGCCAGCAGTATCCTGCCCGCTGCTTCTGCACTCACCTGGTGTGTGCTGGTTCCTTCTCACCCCCCACCCACAACGCAGCTGGGTCTGGCGTTCCTCACCAGCAGAAGTTCCCTCAATCTTCCCCAGGTCAGATGCCCAACTCTCCTCACTGTCCTTAGGGTAAAAGTTCTTGTGGCTGGGGCCAAGGCAGCCTCCCACAACAGCTAACCCCAGGGCTTGCTGATTGTTGTTAAAGCAGTTTGCCACTTGTTAAAGTAGACCCTGAGATTTTTCTTCATATTTTCTCCAGTTGTCCCAAGAGGACCCCTCTTCTGCCTCTACTCTTACTTGTTTTCACAGATCTAAGTTTGCCCAGAGGCATTATTTTATTTCTTTTGTGGAGGAAAATCTTTTGTTCTGTTTTGGGGTTTTTTTTTTTGCTAGGCAGTGGGGTTAAGTGACTTGTCCAGGGTCACACAGCTAGTAAGTGTTATGTGTCTGAGTCTGGATTTGAACTCAGGTCCTCCTGAATCCAGAGCCGGTGCCCTATCCACCTCGCTGCCCCTGGAGGAAAATCTTGAGAGCTTGAAATTTTCTGACCTACTTCCATATTCCCAGAATCCTCTCTCACTCAATGCATTTATAAGAAAAGTGCCATTAAACATCCGAGAAAGCCCTATTCTTATGACTCATTGTAGTGTGGAAGTTATTGAGGATATGGATGCATTGATGGACAGTCTATATTTTTAGTCCGAGAACCTGTCAAGCAAGGTTTGGGAGAAGTTTATTACCATGTTGAACGCAAGTAATGAATTATTTAGCCACCACAACTCTGAGACCATCTACTACTAAGCCAGAGAAATTATAATCGTTGTCAGCAGAGGGAGTGCCAGAATTATATAATCTTTTTTTTTTCTTTTTGGTGAGGCAATTGGGGTTAAGTGTCAAGTGTCTGAGGTCGGATTTGAACTCAGGTCCTCTTGACTACAAGGCCAATCCTATCCATTACGTGCCACCTAGCTGCCCCTCAGCATCACATAATCTTAAGAACTAGAAAAGAATTTAGAAGCTGTTCTTACCTGTATATAAACAGGAATGTACAAAGAGGCTACCTTCTGCTTAAAAATCTCCAGTGAAAGAGAACTGTACTATCTCCTGAGGCATCTTATTCCATTTTTAACAACTCTGATTATAAGTTTTGACTATAAGTGCTGATTATGGGGAGGTTTTTCATTTAAGCCTAAATCTTCATCTCTGCAACTTTCATCCATTGTTCCTAGTTTTGCCCCTTAGAGCAAAGCAGAACAAATCTTCACGATGACAACCTTTCAGATATTCTAAAGCAGAAGGACCATGCACCTCCCTTTCAAGTATTCTCTTCTCTATGCTAAACAGCTTCAGTTCTTTGAACTAAACCTCACATAGTATGTCTTCCAGTCCCCTCACCATCAACCAATCATTCTTGCAAGCCACATTCTTTCCAAATCTTTGCCTTTTTGACATTAACCATAGAATTCTAAATTACATAATTCCCTGTCCATTGCTTATAGAATGGTCTCAAGATGGTTTTGGGATTACAATATTACACTTTGCTAATAAACACCACAATGTAAACTACTGTGTACTGTAATATAAAAAATGCTTTGTTTGTTATTTCAGGTTGTATAAAACAAATTATTTCCCTATTTTATCAGTTGGATTACTGTACATTGCACTCAAAAGTCAAGAAATACTTGCAGGTCTTTGTATATCACACTGATGTATTTTAGTTCATGTTACATATCAATAATCTCATAACCTCAGTGAAAAGTAGATGACATACGATTGGAAGAATCCATATTGGAAGAGCATTGACTACTGAAGTCAACTCACAATTTAAATAATGTAGTTTAAATTGATAAACAAAAAGTTGAGAATGGGGAATAAACAAAACAGAACTCCTTGTTATCTTGTTGAAGTTAATATACACATTTTAAAACAAACGACAAACAATGGAGTTGACAGTTTCACTGTGAGGAACTCATTCTTTTACTTTGTAAATATGGATTTGTTCTTAGTTACTAAGTTTGATTAAATAACAGTCTAAAAGAAGAAAAAACGTGTTGTTAAACACTAGAATTGAATAACTTGTCTCTAACCTGTTTAAACCAGATAAAGGCATATAGATAATTTCACTTTTATATTTTGATGAATGCATAATTTCATTAGACAAAATGCCCTTTGAAGACTCTTTATGGTTGTAGGCCCTCCGCCTTCTAATATATGACCCCTATCCATGCTTTCTTATTCTGTGCAACCTGTATCCATGTTCTTCTACAAATCCTTCATAGAGCATCTACCCAATTAATTGAAAGTTTTATTCTAGGTTTTATAGTATACAGAGTATCAGAAAAGTCTTAGTGTAGTTTAAAAGTATTCAAGCTTAAAGCTACCCTATATTGTGGCTTCCTATTTGTTATCCTTCAGTATTTCTCTTCGACTTAACCTCATCTATTTCCTACATGAAGCCTTTTTTTAACTACCTCTTATATGTAAGTTATCATTTGTAGTATCAATCAAAAAGCATGTATCCACTAACCACATTCTTTGTAACATGTATCACTTGTGCTAGGTGCCAATACAAAAGTAAGATTGTTTATGTACTTCCCATTTTAATAGATGAATAAGGAAGATATATAAAATAAATATACAATGATGGTGGTGAGGAGGGACAGGGCATTAACAACAGAGGGAATAAAGAAAGGCCAGTTGACATGAGCCCCAAAGGGGAGCTAAGGATTTGAAGAGGCAGAGGTGAAAATGGAGAACATTCCAGAATTCAGCTATAACCTATGGAAAGGCAAACAGAGAAGAAAGATGGATTGTCATGTACAGGGACGAAGTAGACCAGTTGGGCTAGAATGTAGAATGGATGAGGAAGGGTAGTGTATAATCATATTGGAAAGATTAGGTAGGAGATTCTGAAGGACTTTAATTGCCAAATGGAGTTTATACTTTATACTAAAGGCAGCAGGGAGTCATTGAAGTTTTGTGAGCAACAAGCATTTATTAAGTTCCTACTAGATTTCAAGTAGAAGGACTTGGCTTAAGATCCTGCCTCTGATAATATTTGCTATCTTTGTGAAAGGCAGGTAGATTAAATACTTGACTTGGAGTCAGAAAGACTGGAGTTTGAATCATCCCTCAGTTACTAGCAGGACACCAGATAATTCTAGGGGTCGTAAAACAGAGGGGCTGGACAGAGAGGATAGTTTATGAACAGAGTGAGAGAAATCTTTTCTGGAAAGAGGAGCAAAAAATCTTGTTTAAAGAACTAATGAATAGTATTATTTGAAGGAGGAATCTATTTGAGAGGAAAGCAGAGGAGGAGAGTAAATTAACCAGGCTCTGTATAATCAGCGAATATTTTGGAGAATTGCCCCATTTTTTAGGGAACTTAGAGGAAACCCCTCTTCTCTTTGGCTTTTGCATACAACTTTCACCCAGACTGTAGCAAATGCTTCTTAAAAAATTATTTATATGGTTTATTTTTACATTGCCAGAATTTCTTCCATCGTTCCTCCCTCTTTCCTCTCTTAGAGAGCCATCCCATTTAAACAAATAATATTTTTAAAGGAAATGAAGAATAAAATAAACAGAACTGATCAGTACATTTCTATATTTCTAGAGCAATTCCGCATTTCAGTAAGTATATCAATATTTTTATCAGTTCTTCATCCTCTCAAATGGAAATCATTTTCATAAATACTTTTTTATCAGTACATCAAAGAAGTGTGAAAGTGTGTGCAATGTTCTACATCTATGGACCGCTTTTCTTGACTCTAACATAATGATGTCATTTTGGTTCTCTTCTAGAACGAAACAACCAACCAACCAGTATTGTCTGCAGAGTAGTGGGGTTGGAAGTATCGTTGCATATCTCTTCTTTGAGAACATGCGTGTTTTTTCTACTTTTGCAACATTAACTTTTTATTGTTGGGTGGTTGATCTTTCCGTTTACATTGTTGCAGTCATTGTGTATATTGTTTTCTTGGTCTGCTTACCTTACTCTGTATCTGTCAGTATGTCTTTTCATGCTTCCACGTGGTCATTTATTTTCTTTGTTTCTTATGACACAGTAATATTCCGTTGCATTTGTGTACAAAAATGTGTTTAGCATTCCTTCACTTAATAGATGGGCGCATCTACTTAGTTTTCAGTTCTTTGCTAGTACAAAAAGTTCCGGTATAAACATTTTGTGTATTTGGGGGCTTTTTATCAGTGACTTCACTGGCATATATATCTGGTAGTATAACCTCTAGGTCTAAAATTATGTACATTTTAGTTACTTTATTATTTGAAACACTTTCGATGAGTCTGAGTCCCCACATTTTCTGCTTGGCTTCATAGTGTTCATTAGCATTTTTAAAAGAAGTTTATCTCTAGAGTTGCGTATTTTAAGGCATCTTCTATATTTTTAACACTCATTGGAAACACTTGGTTGAAGAACTTTTAATGCTATCTTCTACCAATCTGCCAGTTCAGATCTACACTATATTCTTCTCTTCATTATATTCTTAATCCTGTCTAAGATCTTGCCCTCAAAACTCATATGACTCCATATAGTAGATTAATAATATAGATATTAGATTAAATTCCTTGAAAGGTTGGGTGGGATAGCAATACTTAGATTGAGGAGAATGTTAATCCTATCTGCTGTCTTCACTTCTGCCCTTCCAAGGTTGAGCCTTGAAATGAGGCATTTAGAAAAATGGGGAGAACTCTGGATCTCTCCAAATCATTCATTATTAATAATCATTTCTCTCAGCATGCAGTTGTTTGCATGTTAAACTATTCGCTCTTTGATGGCAGAGATTTTTTTGTCTTTTTTTGTATCCCTAATGCTCTATAATTCCTTTGGCACTTACATCCTAATTTACTGAATGACTGACACATTAGCCTCTCTGAACCCCTCTCACCTTGTCCTGGTACTATACTTGACTGGCTTGGTAAAACCTGTTAGAGCTTGTGTTCATCTGGCATAGCCTATCTACAAATGATGTACTGTGATGTTATGTCCCAGAGCTCTAAGTATTATAGATAAAAATAGAAGCTCAGAGCCCCTGCCCTGAAGAAATTTACATTTTAACAGAGGAAGACAGTGCACACAGGGGAATGGTAGCCAAAAAGCAACCCATTGGCCCTGAAAGTTATAGGAGCAGTGAGTGGGGCTCTGCAGGAATAGATTGATAAGCCCTATCCAAGAATACTGGCAGTTTGTTTGATGGGAGAGGGAAGTCAAGATAGTTGTTAAAAGATAGTTGCTAAAGAGAAGATGGCCTAAGATTAGGGAGTGAAGTGAAGCTTCATGACTGGGACTTTCCTGAAATAGTGGTCCAGGAGAGGTAGTCACCAATTAAGGAGAAATATGGGAGTTTCTAGGGCAGAAGTTCCTCTGGGGAAGTGATTCTCAACTTTTTTCATTTCATTATCCCTTTATACCTTTAAAAATTATTGAGTTCCCCAAAGAGTTTTTGTTTATATTGGTTATACTCTTATTTACCATATTAGAAATTAAGATGTCTGTATTACTGTGAGAACAGTTAGACGTCATGAATCCCCTGAAAGTGTCTCAGGTTCCTCCATGTGTCTATGAACCACGCCTTGAGAACAACTGTTTCAAGGATGGTCTCTGGTATAGGTTCTTTCCTTTTCCTTCCAGAAAATACACAAAATAAATTAAAAATAAAATAATTTGCATAGCATAAATATTTAGTCTGATAAAGTAAGCAAGTAGGTATTTACTAAAATGCTTCAAGCAATTGTAAAATGCTATTTTAAAATTTTTTACTTATTCAAATTTTAATTAGTGCTACTTAAAATCATGTTCCTTTAGTATATAGTGATATATAGTGTAAAACTTTAATGTGACATATACGACCTATAATACCCATGTTATTCTTGATCTTTGACATTTAGTCTGATAAAGGGCATTCTATTGAATATCAATCCCGATTTTTCTCTGTATTTTATATTTTTAGGAAAGGTCCTGCCATTTTCAGTGTTCAACTTTTTTTTCTTCTATTTTTTGATGATGTCTATGCTTTGTGATACGGATGTATAAATTATGAGGTGTTAAATTTGTGACTAAAAATTCTAGATATATTCAGAGGAAATAAATACTTTAACCCTTGTCTTGTTAAATGAAATAATGTTCCATTGTGTGAATGTAATAATTGAAAATCTTTCATATTGTACCTTGTCCAGGAAGTACAGACAAAATGTTATTTTAGTGAAATTTTATGCAGTAAATACACGCAATAAATATAGGTCAGGTCCATTAAGTATCATGGACTAAGTTTTCAAAAAAGGCCATTTAAATTGGTCTTATTGACTTATTTGCTTCTTAGTTTGCATTGTTTGTGAAATACTGCTATTCCATTCCAACTCTTTGTGTTCCAGTGTTCATAGTGTAGCATTATGATTTTTCCAGTATTGCATAGTAGATAGAATCAAACCTGGATACAATAGTTATAATTAAATTGTACTGGATTGGCTTCGGAAGACCTGGATTTGAGTCTCTTCTTGACTAATTCTTGCTAATATTTAGCAAGTTATTTAACCTCTTTGACCTTCCTTCTATTCATATGAAAAATGAATATAAAACCTCAGGCAGGCTTTGCCTACTTTACAAGGTTGTGATGAGTATTGAATTAAATAACGTTAAGTCCTTTGTCATTGTAAAGAAGTTTGCAAAAGTCTGTTATTGGTTTTTTGTTGTTGTTGTTGTTGTTTTTGGTGAGGCAGTTGGGATTGAGTGACTTGTCCAGAGTCACACACAACTAGTAAGTGTTATGTGCCTGAAACTAGATTTGAACTCAGGTCCTCTTGAATCCAGGGACGGTGCCCTATCCACTGGGCCACCTAGCTGCCCCAGAAATCTGTTATTGTTAATTGGAATTACCTTTTCTGTCTTGGATTCCCAGTGAAATTTTAAGTTAATAAGGCAGCGTGATGCAGTGAATGCAGAATGCTGGGTTTAGAATCAAAAAGATCTTGGTTCATTTCTCAGTTCTGGCACTATTAAATATATGACTTTGGAAAAGTCATTTAACTTTAATATGCCCCAAGACAACTCCCTAGGACTTATTTACTAAATCATAGCTTGCAATCTGCTGGTAGAAGGAATACCCTTATTAGAAGTTCACCAGGCTGACAGAATTACAGATAATTCCTTTGAGTTTAAGATTATCATGTAAAATACTTTATGAATAAAGTTCCAAAAATCCTTGTCTAATCTATAATTATTTTTAGATACTTGTGTTTTATTCAGCAAATAGATCATAGGCTTGAGTTTATATTTTTTAATTTATGTTGTTTCTTTACTAAGAATGCTACCCTGCAAGCAGAGAAACAAGCATTGAAAACTCAATTGAAGCAACTTGAGACACAGAACAATAATCTACAGGCCCAGATTCTTGCACTTCAGCGGCAGACTGTTTCTTTACAGGAACAAAATACTACCCTTCAGACTCAGAATGCTAAGCTTCAGGTAATTTTTATATAAAACTTTTGTTGGGGGGTTTTCATCAGAACTAGAGATTCTTTTATGATTGGAGAACTTTGATGTCAATTACCAGTCTTGCCAAATACTTGATACTAATTCTTGGTTTAAAAACTTGACCATGGATGAATTAAAATATTTATAGTACTTAGGTTAGAGTATTTATATCAAGATTATTAGGCTTCTAAATTAAAAAAAAGTAAAGTAAGAATAAATAGGGTATGGTAATGCAAAATATAAAATAAATTTTAGAACTTTTTAAAAAGTTGGGATTGTAGTAGTATTGTTTCAGAGTATAAAATGGCTGTAGCATATGAACCCTGGTTTCCTTTTTCTAGATCTTTAATTGAGTCAATTACTAGAAAAAGAGATATACAGGTAGGGCTTTTTGAATAATTTTTGGACTCAAAGACTGTGTTCTTAGTTTCATTAATCTGTCAAGTCACTAGATACTAGGTTCCTAATATGTGCAAGGCACTGGGAGTACGAAGACAAAAACAAAACAATCCCTTCCTTCCAAGAACCTAAATCCTACTGTAGCATGAGAATGGAAGAGATAGGTCTGTCACTTAAAAAAAAAAAATCAGTCTCCTTCACCTTCAAAACAGTAAAAAAAAAATATGTCGGCTAGAAACCTCTGAAAGGAATAAAGAAGAGGTTTCCTTCTCTTTATCTGGTTGTTATTGGAAACATGTTATCACTATACCTTTAGCTACTTTTAGCAAAAATTTTTTTTAAAAAAATTTTAAGTTTAAAGTGGATATAAACAGGTTTATGATTCCTTAATTTATGAGAATTCCTGATGTGAAAATCATATTGTTCCAAAATCCTTTTTACTCACTTTTTGCTAAATCAGTATTAGATTTTTTTATCATCTGATGATTATATATTATGTTATGACTATTATTACAGGTGGAAAACTCTACCCTTAATTCCCAAAATACCTCACTTATGAACCAGAATGCCCAATTATTGATTCAGCAGTCTGCGTTGGAAAATGAAAATGAATCTATAATCAAAGAAAGAGAAGAGCTTAAATCTCTGTATGACGCACTGGTCAAAGACCATGAAAAATTGGAAAATCTTCATGAACGTCAGGCTTCTGAGTATGAGTCGCTCATTGCCAAACATGGAACACTAAAGTCTGTACACAAAAATCTTGAGATGGAACATAAGGACCTTGAAGATCGGTAATTTTCATTGTTATCTTGTTTATAAAATATGTAAATAGTTTTTCCAAGTTAGCTTAATGAATTTCATACGGTAAGTAAACATCAAAGAAATACTTTGTAAAACAATCACTTTTTCTTCCATTCTTAAGTATTTTTTAATATTTTTATTGATACCTTTCATCTTTACATAATAGTTATTTCCCATCACTTCTTCTACATTGAACCCTCCATGCTGACAAAGGAAAAACAATTAATTAAAAATATATGATAAATCATATCTGACAGTGTACAAAATAATGTGTCCTTATATAGTTCTACCCCTCTCTATGTGTGTTTTATTATCAGTTCTCCAGGACCTTCACTGCTTTTTCAGTTACTCAATTATTTTTCAATTTTGTGACTTATCATTTGTATTTTTGTAGTCACTGTATACATTGTTTTCTTGGTTCTTTTTATTTTGCTTTGCAGTAATTCATAAATATTCATATATCTTATGAATTCTTCATATTCAAAATATCTTTTAACACAGTGATTTACCACAATGTTCATAAGCCATAGTTTTTTCATCTGTTCTTCAATTGATGGGTACCCACTTGGCTTCCAGTTCCACAGACAATGTTGCTATGAATATTTTGCTAAGTCTTTGACATTTTTTTCCATCTTCAACTTCCTTTGGGTGTGTATGTTCAGTAGTGAGGACTTTGCTATCCTTGGTATCATTATGCCTATTTTAGTTATTTTTCTTGCATAATTCCAAATTGAAATATTTAAATTTTAGACTAACAGTTCTACCAGCTGTGCATCACTATGCTTGACCTCCCAACTATTCTAACATTGGCTTTTCTCACCTTTTATTATCTCTTTCAGTTTGTATGGTGTGAAGTAAAGCTTGATTTGTTTTAATTTATACTTCTAACTTAGTAAGTTGGAGCAAGTTTTCATGTGATTTATATTTTGTTTATAGTTCATGGGCTTTTTTTTAAATAAAACTTCTTATTTTTAACTACTTATTGGAGAACAGCTCATGGTAGTATAAATTTATATCAGTTACCTTTGGTTTTGGATATCAGTGATATTTCATATAGATCCTTTCCCCCATTCTACTGTATCTTTTCTAATTCTGCTCTTATTTATTTATTACCAAGAGGACATTTTAAGTTAAATCTTTAACTTTCCCTCCCTGCCTCCCACCTCCCAGCTATAACCAGTTGCTGAAACAGAAAGGACAGTTGGAAGAATTGGAAAAAATTCTCAAAGTTGAGCAAGAGAAAATGATGCAAGAAAATAAGAAACATGAAACTGTAGCTGCAGAATACAAGATACTTCGAGGTGAAAATGATAGGTAATGACTAAAGACATCCAGTCCTATATTTTCTTTAATTCTAAATTAAATTTGCTTGTCATAGTACCATCTATGATGATAATTCCAGCTATGGACTGAGAATTTTTAGATAATTAAGAGACCATTTATTCATTCACAGAGTGGGTGCTTAAATGTTTGTAGAAATATTGAATTTAAATGTGTAAATGATTTCATTTAGTTGTCCTCCCTATATATTCTCAAATCATTAATTAAAGAAAAAGCTGCATATCCTAATATTCAGTAGTAAGTTGAACAGATATAATTTCTTTATAGAATCTGTCTACTTTGTACTGAATGTTAAAAAACCTTTTCATTTTATGTGAAATAAAAATAGAATATACATTTTCTGTTTTGTACTTTAAACCTTTTCATGTAATTAATCACTTCTGAGAAAGATGATGGCACTTTATGACAAATTGTTGAATATAAATTGTGTGTAATCATAATATTTATTTTCAAGGAAAAAGTAATGTCTATAATCAGTAATGTTCCTTTTTAATCCCTCTCTGTTTTAAGGTTTTTTTAAATATAAAATTGTATTCAAGAAAACTTAGTTTTCCTAGATACCGTTATGCCCAATTTAGTGCGTCTAAACATTAGCATAGCATTACAAATTAAAAATAAAATGTTAACCAATATGAACGTCTTATGTATCTTTGCTGATTTTCTAATTAAAGGCTGAGTCACACATATAATCAACTCCTGAGAGAGACAGAAGTTTTACAAACTGACCATAAGAATTTAAAGAGCCTATTAAACAATTCCAAATTGGAGCAGACAAGATTAGAAGCTGAATTTTCAAAGCTAAAGGAACAGTACCAACAGCTGGATATTACATCCACTAAACTGAATAACCAATGTGAGGTGAGTTCCCATGACTTTGTTTCTTATTAGTTCATAAATGCTATGCTCTGTTTGGGGGCAGTACTATGCCACCACTAAAAATTGACTTGTTGGAGTTGCAATTGGAGCACTGGGGCATAATAACTTGGGATATGCCAGTAAGAAAAAGTTGGGTCTATTTTGATATCTACTAACATAATTTATCTGTGTTAATGAGTGTCAGAGACATTTTAAAGTAACTCCCTAGACTACTTTTATCATTAAGTTCAATCTCATTTACCATTCAAATCTTTTTATAGCCTCAGGTTTTCCAAGAATTAATGAATTAGATGAATTTCAGTTCTTATAGCTTTTCCAGTTAAGCTTTGGTGGAGCTGTTAGTAAGCTAATACAGAGTGATAACAGAAAAGGAAAAATTGAGGTCCAAAATAATCAGCATCTGAATAATTACATTAAAGCCTAGTTTCTCATTGTGTAGGTAGTTCTTAGAAACTAGCAATCAGTGAACCTTTAAATGGGACTGCTTGTGACATAGAAGCCTGAAGATTTACATTTTGTGTCTTGTTGTCTAAAGTCTTCAATTAAAAAAGTCACTTTGAAAGATGTTATAGTTGATTACTGCTGTCAGTGCTCATTAAATCAGATCCACATATTATCAGTGTTTTGATATTAATCTGATTCATTTACAGTATTTTAAAAAATTAAACCATTTAAATGAGATATTATTAAACAGCAAGAATTTAGATTTTGAAAATTAAATGGGGGCAGCTAGGTGGCACAGTGGATAGAGCACCGGCCTTGGATTCAAGAGGACCTGAGTTCAAATCCAGCCTCAGACATATAACACTTACTAGCTGTGTGACCATGGGCAAGTCACTTAACCCTGTTGACTAACCAAATACATAATAATAATAAAAAAATTAAATCATTTAAATGATGTATAATTATTAGACTTAAAGAATTTGTAAAACCTAATTTTATAATATGGGTGTTTGCTATATCCTATTTTTCATATGAGAAGAAATCCTAGATTTCCAACTAAAATGGCTGCCTGCACAGTCATACCACATAGTTTACACATATTAACTGCAGCAAAACACTGACATTCATTTCATTCTGATTAATAGTCAACAAATTCAATGAAAAATTGTAGTAAGTGACTTCTTCCATCCCAGAATTCTATAAACATCCATCCAGAAGCCTAAGGGCAATAGGAAAGGAGGCTGCTTGTAAAGTCTATTTCAAAACAGAATAATCTCCCACAGTGACTAGAGACACTTTTAGCCTTCAAGGTTCTGTTCAGGAGTGGAAGGATCACCTAAGAAAGCCCCCAGAGCAGTCAGGAAGCACGAGAGGGAAATTTGGGAGCCTGTGGACAACAGCATTCAACAGGGGCCAGTAAAGCAAAGCAACATTCAGATATGCAGGTCCAGGGGCTTTGAAGTACTTAATGCTTTCTTTCCTGAGACACCAGAGAGTGACCTAAAGGTCCAGGGCTCTGAACCCTGGGAAGTAGAAGTCAATGTAGGAGCTTGCTTGAGACCAAGCAAGGCCCCACACCTCACTCAGAAATTTACTTCACAGGATGAGCCTTACCCTGGCATAAAGCCCCAGTTCAGGGTCTAAAGAGGGAGAGATGAATAAATCAAAGAAAATACTAACCAGCATAAAGAAAATTATTTTAATGCTAGTTGTTTTAGTTGTTTTTCAGTCGTGTCTGACTCTTTGTGAACCTTTTGGGATTTTCTTGGAAAGTTATTGGAGTGGTTTGCCATTTCCTTCTCCCACACATTTTACAGATAAGGAAACTGAGGCAAATAGGGTTATTCTCCCACACATTTTACAGATAAGGAAACTGAGGCAAACAGGGTTAAGTGACTTGTCTAGGGTCACATAGCCAGTAAGTGTGTAAGGGCAGATTTGAACTCAGGTCTTCATGACTTCAGGCCCAGCACTCTATCCACTGTGCCACAGAGTTACAGAGTTCGTAATAATTGCAAGTCAAGTGACTCAAAGGAAAAAAATGGATTTTCCGTAAGACCTACATAAATGCATAGAGAAAATGAAGATGATAAATTAAAACTCTGGAAGAAAGAACTGGAAAGAGAATAGTTTAGAAGAAAAAGTAGTGAACCTTACTGAAGTAGCAGACCCCTTGAAAACTAGAAGTGGTGAAACAAATCAGTGACTCCATGAAATAGTAAGAAGTATTAGAACAAAATTGAAAGATGGGAAAAATAGAAGAAAAATGTATGATATTAATTACCAAAAACAACTGACTTGGAAAACAGGTCAAGGGGAGACAATTTAAAAATCATTCGACTTTTTGAAAACCATGGTTTGTTGAGGATTTTTTAAACCTCCTGGACATTACTTTTCAAGAAATCATTAATAAAAAGAGGCGAAGTAAAACACATTGATCACCTACAGAAGGAAACCCCAAAAATAAAAGAGTGAGGAGTGTCATAGACAAAACCCAGAATTCCCACATCAAAGAAAAAAGTACTACAAGCATGCTGAAAGGAGTTCAGGTACCAAGGAACAAGAGCCAGGTTCACACAATATCTGACAATTTCCACCATAAATCTGAGCTTGGAATATAGTATTCCAAAAAGACAAAAGATATACAGACTTACAGCTGAGAATAACTTACCCAGCAAAATTGAGTATTAACATATAGGGTAAAAAATGGGTTTTTGATGTTATAGAGGACTTTCAAACATTTCTGATGAAAGGACGAGTTGAGTTGGACTTTTCCAAGACAAACACGAGAGGCCAGAAAAATCTAGAAAGATAAATTTATTTGAGGAATCAGAAGGGGCTTAATGGTGATACTGTAGTACTGTTCTAACAACTGGAGGAGAAACAAGTATCCCGGGGCAGCTAGGTGGCGCAGTGGATAGAGCACCGGCCCTGAAGTCAGGAGTACCTGAGTTCAAATGCGGCCTCAGACCAAACACTTGACACTTACTAGCTGTGTGACCCTGGGCAAGTCACTTAACCCCAGTTGCCTTAAAAAAAAAGAAAAGAAAAAAAAAGAAACAAGTATCCCTTCAGAAACTTAATGTCTTCAAAGGATATTGAGGGAGTTATGTAAGAAAAACAGCAGACCTGGAGATGGACTGGTTCTCTTCTGAGGGTTTTAAGAAGAAAAAGAGAAGAGAAGTTAAAATTAAGAATACACACTAGAAAGGAAGGAAGGAAGCAGGTGAATTTAAATATTTCTCAAAATTAAGTTGTGAAAAACGACTCTACAACCATGGAAGAAGGTGAGGGAAGTAGGCATTAGATGAATCTCATTTTTCTGTGAAAGACACAAAGGAATGTATCACATATGTAAATAGTTTGGTAGAAAAATGATACTAGACTAGGGAAAAAAAAAAGGAAACAGGGATGGGGTATGGGGTGATTTAAAGGGAAGATGTTACTGGGGAAAGAAGAGCTTCAAGGAAAGTAAAATTTTCCTGTCCCGAAAGGAAGATGAATTGCCTCTTAGACAAATTAGGGAATGCTGAACAAATTGTGGTTATATGACCATAGTGGAATATTATGGAACCCTGAGAAATGACAAAAGAGATGTTTTCAGAGTATCCTGAGTAATACGTACTAATGCAGAGTAAAGTGAGCATAACAGAGAGAAAAAATTCATTCAAGGATAGCAGTGTTATAAAGAAAAACAGTTCTGAGAGTCTTAAGAACTCTGATCAAAACAATGACTAAATATGTATCCACAGGAACTTTGATGATATATGATGAACAAGGATTTTTCCTCCTTTTCCTTTTTTTATTTTGAGAGGAGTTTTTACATAAGAGGGAAGGTTAGCAATGCTGATGCTAAAAAGGGGTCTCTTGAAACATTTTTTAAATGCAGAAAAGAGAACAGAAGAAAAGTCAGAAGGAGGGGGCAGCTAGGTGGTACAGTGGATAGAGCACTAGTCCTGGAGTCAGGAGGACCTGAGTTAAAACCCAGCCTCAGACCCATAATACTTACTAGCTGTGTGACTTTGGGCACTTAACCCCATTGGCCTTAGAAAAAACAAACAAAAAAGTCAGAAGGAAACAGGCAAGTAAGACAGTTTTGAAAATAGAATAGAATTTATTATATACTTATTAAAAAACAAGCAGAATTAAATGGAGATTTGTGGTTTCATACTTGAGGCAGCTGGTGGTATGGTGGTATGGCAGTTAGAGGGCTGGGCCTGGAGTCAGGAAGGCCTGAGTTGTTCAGCTGACCTCAGAAACTTGGTAGTTATGAGACCGTGGGCAAGTCACTTATCTCTGTTTACCTCAATTTCCCCAACTGTCAGATGGGGCTAACAATAGTACCTACATCACAGGGTTATGAGGATCATATGAGGTAATATTTGTAGAAAGCACAGTGCCTTGTATATATTAGGAGCTATGTAAATGTTTATTCTTTTCCCTTCCTCTTACATAGAATCCTCTTTTTATCTTCTATGTGTATAGAAATGCCCTTTTTGGCATTTAAATTCAGAATTTAAAAATTAAGTGTTTTAAAAATAAAAAGACAAAACTGAAAATGCCTTGGGAGCTTTTTTAGATTGCTACTAAAGACCATTTTTGTTGCTTGCATTTTTGTAACTAAGGGCATAAATTATCTTAGCACTCATTTGACCAGAATTGTTTAATAATATTCTCATTATGCTATTCCCCTTCTTTTTACTGTGTATAACACCCATGTGACTTCTCCAGGCTTTAGTTTCCACATCTGTAAAATAAGGGTGTTGAATTTAGATGGCCTTTAAGTTCCCTTCCAGCCCTAAATCTTGGTTTTATTCCCCCTCTGTCCCCTAGTAGAATATAAGATCCTTGAGAGCAGGTAAGAACTGTTTTACTTTTGTCTTTCTATTCTTAGCTCCTAGCACAGGACCTTGCATATAGTAGTAGATGCTAAATACATTATTACTGAATTGGATTTTCATCCCTATAAATTTAGTTTGTACTCTAGTAGGACTGGTCCAGTAATTTATATGTTAGCCATACTTGAAAGGCAATGTGTAAATATCACAGAGTCTGAATCACCCAGGTGCCAGTTTAGCTTTAGGCTTTGTCACTTAACTTCTCAGTGCCCCAGGTAACCCTCTAAGATTACAGGTTGCAGATATGAATTGGTAGAGAAGGTATCCTCACCCAAAATTCCATACAGTGAGGAAATCACAGGTCAGGATAAAAAAAGTTCATGTTGAAGTGTTATTTCTGTTTTGTGTTAATTGAACGCTTTTGTTTACTATTATCTTGGTAAATGAGTTGTTCTCAAGAACTTTGTGCATCAATTTTGAGGTTGTTAACATAGTTCTACTTGTGGATGTATTCAAATATGTATTCTTGTTCCTGAGAAGGATAACATCAGTCTTCTGTAAAAATTTTCCTTTGGATGTTGTATAGGTTTTTTTCTTGGCTGAGATAGACTTTTCTCATATTTCTTGTTGGAATAATCTTTGTAGGAAACTCAGATCATTTGATTTTGTGATGATTATATATTAATTTTCTTTGCTTATGTTTAGCCTGGTGGCATAGATTGGTTCATGCTCTGTGAACTCTGTTAAATACAGTAGGTGAATATGACTAGTGTCAGACTTTATAAAGAAAGGTCATTCGAACAATACTTTTGCTCAAAAGCTTTTGAAAATAAAACTAAATCTTTAAAGACTTAAAAAGTAGCCATAAGAAGTAGTTAAGGAAAAAATTTTAAATGGCACATGGGAACAATTATAGCAAAGATAACAGCTGCTTTCACAACTGGAGAGGCCTCTTTTTTCTTCCTTTGTGGAGAAAGCCATGTCAAGCAGTACCTAACCAAAAAACTGTAATCGACTGTTTGTGATAAACAAAAATCATATATTGTCCCTGAAAGTGGAATGTAGCAATTTTAAGGAAAAAAAATTATGGTAATTTAAAACAGGAAATCACATGAAAAAATAAAAAGTAAGGTTTTTGACAAGTTTTGCTATTTTGTATACCATATACCTTTTTTAAACAGTGATAATTCTTTTGTTCAGAATGATGCCATTATTGTTCAAATGTTAGCAGTCTTAAGAAAGACTGAAAATATTTTATATATTTAACTGGTTCTTTCTATTCTTATATAATGTGAATATTGATTTCTCTTAAAATTTCATTTTCTTTGTCAGTTACTTAGCCAGCTTAAAGGAAACTTAGAAGAAGAAAACAGACATCTACTAGATCAAATTCAGACATTAATGCTCCAAAATAGAACACTATTGGAACAGAATATGGAAAGCAAGGATCTTTTTCATGTTGAACAAAGACAGTACATGTAGGTACCAAATAATTATGAACTGTTGTGTACTGTTTACTTTCTCAGAGGTTACCAATAACACTGATTAATGAATCCAGTGACCTTTTCTCATTCTTGATCTTCCTTGACCTCTCTTACTCCTTTAGCATGGTTCCCCTTCTTAAAATTCTCCTGTGGTGGTACCTATAACTCAATACTATCCTGATTGTTTTCCTGCATCATTCTGATAGCTCTTCCTCTTTTTCATTCCTTGGTGCCTTGTCTTCCACCTATCTTCTTAAATAATGACATTTCCCAGAGTTTTCTCCTCATTTCTGTTTTCTTTCTCCCTCTGTGATATATGATCCACTGCTACAGCTTCCATCTATCACTTTAATGTGAACAGTTCTCATATCTGTATCTTCATCCTTTCCTTTTCTCCTAAGCTCCAATCATACATCTCCATTCACCCACTAGGCAATTTTTTTGGCGTGTCAAATTCAACATGTCTAAAACTTATGTCCCTCATTTCTCCTTTCCCCAACTTCTATCCCTTTTCCCAGACAGCTTCCTAACCTATCTTCCTTATTTTAGTGATTGGTATTGTCTTTCTTATAGTCAGTTTGAAACCTCAGGGTCATTTTTTTATTCTTCCTTGTGCCTATATACAAAGAATTATTGCATCATATTGATTCTTCTCTTATAGTATCTATCTCATCCATCTCACTTTTCCATTTCCACTTACACTACTTTATTTCAGGCCATCATTATTTCTTATCCATCCTATTGCCTACTGACTAGTTTTTTTTTCTCCAGTGCATCTTTTAAACGATGACTAGATATTCTATTGCATTTGTCTTATATTTTCCTTTAATGACTCCCATTATTTAATAAGCATTCCCTAATTACATTCCAGTGTTTAAGGCCCTCCAAGATCTATCTCAGCCTATCTTTTCAGCCTTAATACTTTTGGGGGAGGGGCCCTAAAGTTATGATTCAATAGTATAGTATAGTATAGTATAGTATAGTATAGTATAGTATAGTATAGTATAGTATAGTATAGTATAGTATAGTATAGTAGCTCCCTCTACCAGTACAGATTAGAAACTGTTGTCGTAGATAGTTGACTGGGGCATTAAGAGATCAAATGACTTTCCTAGTCCTGACTCTGAGGTAATCTTTCTATTTATTATGCCAAATCAAATCAACAAGCATTTACTAAGCACCTTGTGCCAGGCACAAGGAGCTCACAATTTAATGGTAGAGACAACATGCAAAAACATATGTAAAAAGAACACATACACAGAATAAATTGAAGATGGACTCAGGGGGAGAGCACTAACTGGAAAGGCTTCTTGAAGAAGGTTGTATTTTACCTACATCTTGAAGGAAGCCAGAAGGCAGCAATAAGGAAGGAAAGATTCTTATTCCAGGCATGGGGACAACCAGTGAAAGTGCCCAGAGGAAAAGCATTCCAGACTACTTGAAGGGAGAGTAAGCTATGAGAAAACTGGAAAGGTGTAAGGAAGTTACCAGGTTATGAGGGACTTTAAAAGCCAAGCAGAAGATTTTATCTTTTCTCCTATAGATAATACTTAGCTACTAGAGTTGATTGGGGGAAGGGTCAGAGGGTTTTGGTGGTGGGGTAGAGGTAATGTGTGTAACATAGTCAGACATATTTTAGGAATATCAATTTGATAGCTGAGAAGAGGATAGACTAGAGTGGGGAGAGGCTGCAGGCAGGGAGACCAACCAGAATGCTACTGCAGTAATTTAGACATAAGTTTATATAAGCTTATACCAGAGTAGTAGTAGCAGTGTCAGAGGAGAGAATGGTGCATATAGGAAAGATGTTACAAAAGTCAAAACTGTAAGCCTTGGCGTCTGATGGGTTGGGGTGGGGCAAAAGAGAATGAAGAGTCAAAGATGATGCCTGGGTTGGCTGGGGCCATGGTGGTACTCTAGAAAGTAATAGAGAAGTTTAGAAGGGAGAAAAGATTTTGGGGTAAGTTAGTGACTTCAGTTTGGTACGTGTTTAGCCTAAGACATCTACAAGACATACTCGCTGAGATGTCCATTTGGCAGTTGGAGATGTGAAACTGGAGGTGAGGAGAGAGATTAAGTTTGGACAAATAGATTTGAGACTTATGATTGAATCCATGGAAGCTGATAACTCACCAAGCGCAATAGTATAGAGGGAGGACAAGACAAGAGAACCCAGGACAGAGCCCTTCATGACATCCATATTTAGTTGGCCAGACCCACATAAAGATAATCCAGCAAAGGAGACTGAAAAGAGCTGTCAGATAGGAGGAAAGCCAGGAAAGAATAGTATCACAAAAACTTAGGAAGAAGATAACATCAAAAAAAGGGTGAGCAGTAGTGTTAAAGGCTGCAGAAAGGTCAGGATTAAGAGATCACTGGTTACTTTTGAGAGTGACTTCAGTTACATGATGAAATCAGAAGCCAGATTGAAGAGTTAGTTAAAAATAAGACTGCGGAGGGGCGCGTGGGAGCAACTAGGTGACGCAGTGGACAGAGTATCATTCTTGGAGTCAGGAGGACCTGAGTTCAAATGTGGCCTCATATACTTGATACTAGCTGTGTGATCCTGGGCAAGTCACTTAACCACCATTGCCTCACTAAAAAAAAAAGTACAAGGAAAGGAAATGGAGGCCCCCATTATAGATGGCCTTCTCTAGGAATTTATCCATAAAAAGAAGAAAAGATAAGATGATAGCTAATGGGGATGGCCAGAACAAGGAAGAGTTTTTTGAGGATTGGGGAAGACATAGGTATATGTCCACAGGCTATAGGGAGGCAGCCAGCAGACAAGGGAAAATTGAAGATTAGTAAGGTGTAGAGGTAAAGGTTTGGGGGCGAGAGGAGTAATAAGTTCAATTTTGGACTTGCTGTCATGACACACTATATCTCTCTCACATTCTAATATATACAGTGTGTATTCCAGCTAAACTTGTTTTTTCACCATTCCCTTAAGATAACCTGCACTTTCCTACATCATGTTGTTTTTTTCTGTCTGCATTGCCATTCTTTATTCTGTTAGTCTTTCAAAATGCTTTCTATCCTTCAAGTCGTAGCTTGTCCTAACTTCTATCAGGTTTTCTCTGAATTTCACCAACTAGACCTTTTCTGAAGGGAAATTCCTTTTGCATTTTTTTAACTTTGGGGGCCTAATATTGCTGTCTTTTATGGTTCTTGTATGTATGTCATCTTTCCAGTAGGTGGAAATTATAAGCCATTTGAGGACAGGATACTTTGTACCCTACAGTGCCTACATCTTGTCTTGTTCATTGCAAGTCCTTAGTTAATATTAGTAGATTGAATTTTTGAATTAAGTACACTTTGAAGAACACATCACTTTTGATATTTTTAGTTAAACTTTTAAGAAAAGATTTTATGTACTGTCACATAATTTCATGTATGATTTTTTATAAATATCTCCACTAATATATATATACACACACATACATATATATATATATATACATATATATATACACACACATATATACACATACGCACACATATAAAGTTGATCCTAACCACATTGAAATACAAAAAGTAAAATTTTGCTATTAAATTTCTTTCTCGTGTAAGGTTAAAGATCATTATGACACCACTGGTAAATACATCAGTCACTTTCCAACTTGGAATGACATAGTACACAGAGAGCCAGCTTCAGAGACAGTAAAACCTGAGTGTAAGTCCTGCCTCTGATGTGTTCTGGATTTGTGACTCCCCATGCTCCTGGGCAAATCTCTAAGGCTTTAAGTTGCAAAGTAATTGCTGATTTGCATTGGTAGAGGAAGTTTCCTCATTGGAAGTTGCCAACAGTAATAATGATAATTATAATTGCTAGAATTATATGGAGCTTTAAAGTTTGTAAAGCCCTATCTCACTTGATATACCAATGAAATCATAGGTCCATTTAAAAAATAAAAAGGCATGGCAGTACAATGGAGAAAGAAAACATAAATAGTATTATTCTAGAGATGTTTATTACTTCCTTTACAATGTGACTTGTAATAGATTGGTAGGGCGTGCTTCCCAAAGGAATGGAGGGATCCTTGATGTTAATTTAATTGCATCTATCAATATTATTTTTCACTTTATTATTGAGTATATATTATAAATTTAAAAGAGAAACCTAAAAAGAGTAGCACTACTTAAAGTTATTATGTTGTTAGCTATTGTTCTTCATTTTTCTAGGGAGATTAAGACCGAATTTCTTTAAAAAAAAAATTTAATGTTATGAATAGCTTTGTAAAGTTCTAAAATGTATTTTCCCCTTATTTTAGTGATAAATTAAATGAATTAAGACGACAAAAAGAAAAATTAGAAGAAAAGATTATGGATCAGTACAAATTTTATGACCCATCACCTCCCAGAAGGTATTGTCATACATTTTATGAATATTCATTAGCAAAAATATCAAATTAACAGTACCTATAGAATCTTTTAAAGTTTCATAATTTTACAGAAGGCTAGAACATTTCGTGTTTAATTTTTAATGAGTTATTTTCTCAATGATAATTATTTTATTAGGAGAGGCAACTGGATTACTTTAAAAATGAGGAAACTTATAAAATCTAAGAAAGATGTTAATCGGGAACGTATGAAGTCTCTAACATTAACACCCACACGTTCAGAATCCAGTGAAGGATTTCTTCAGCTACCCCATCAAGACAGTCAAGATAGTTCATCAGTGGGTTCAAATTCTCTAGAAGATGGCCAAACCTTGGGGACCAAGAAAAGCAGCAGTGAGTGCTTTAAAAGTTTTAATTTTTGTTAGAAATGTTGATTCACATCAGTATCTTCCTGGCATGTTAATCAATTCAAGTTACTCATACAAGGGAAATACCCTACGTTTCATGTTCCTAAGTGTAAGTATGAAAGGAATTATAGAAGACAGTTAAAGAAAGGAATTGACCATTTATGCATCAGGTAGCAAGAAAAAAATATTCTTTCACACTGATTACTTTTAACACACTCTTTATATAATCTGTTTCTCCTTTTTTTTTCTTCTCCCTTGAGTTTTTTCTCTTTTCACTCATATCTTTCTTTCCCTCTGGTATATAAATTATGGCCTTAATTGATTTACCTAAATAACATTTGCTTAATTAACCTAGGTAGACTACTTTTGTGGTGTGGTCTGGTTACTTTAAAACTCCACATGGTTTCTCTGTTTCGTAAATATTGTTATAATAGAACTTGAATGTTGGGATACTAAGCTTAACATAATCACATCATTGAATTTTTCTGTATAATGTGTAAAACATTCATATGAACATAGAAGGGACACAGTTTGACCGTAAAAGCCTCATGTAGAATGACAAGAACACTGAAGAGTTAAATCTAGGTTCTGGTCCATCTCTGCCACTGATTAACAGTTTCCTTAACCAGTTCTGAACCTTAGTTTCCCTCCTGTGGGAAATAGATAAAACATCAACCCTAGTTTCTCTCTTAAGTTTTTTGTGAGGATCACTTGAGATAATGAAAATGAAGGCACTCTGAAAATTCCAAAATACTACACGGATGTTAGATGGCATTCTTTATAAGCCTATCTGTTGAATGGTGAAGCATGATGTTACTGTACATAAATACTTTTTTAGGTAGTTTTAGGTTCTAAGAAATAAAGGAACTTAATTTACTTTTGTGATTTACACATGCTAATTAGCAAAGGAAGCCTGTACAAAGGTAATGCATGTTTGGATATGAAGTTACACTTTTAAAATAATTGATACAGTCAAAGCTATAAATGTTGATGTTGTACCCTAGATAGAGCACACTTAACACTGGAAGTTCTAGGGCACCTTTGCATTGGAGATATGTCTAGCTACATGTACTTGACCCAAAATAATTCCAGAAAGACTGATTTTTAAGAGGAAGATTTAAGTAACTGAAGGGTAGATTGAGAAAGTTAAATCCTATAATAGATTCTAGAATTACTAAATTTTAAAAAAACCTATTGAAGTTACTACTCATTCTTTCAAAAATAGATACAGTTGTTGGGGCCAAAGAAGAATAAATAATGCATTGTATTGTAGAATTTAAGTTGTAGCAAACTAATGAATAAGTCTTTAAATTTACATATTGTATTTTGCAGGCTCGGGAAAAGTATTTAATTCTGGATTTTATTTCTGTATGAGTCTTACAGAATAGTTAATCTTAAGTTTTAGTTTTTATCAAAATATATACTAAAATTTTTAGTTATTGGTAGGTGGTGACAATCAAATTATTCTGTTATATAAGGAGTATCATACAAACTTTTAGATCTTCAAATATAAAATATCAGATATATGATTAAAGAAAAGGATCAAAAATGAAGCTTTATTCATTCAGTTGGATAAAGAAATTTTAATGATAGATGGATATACGTAGAACTTAGGTGCATGTGGTGTGGTCTGTTTTGGATCCAAATTTTTAATAGAAATTGATTGAATTATTACCTCTACTACAGACTTTTTGCATGAGGATCAAAAGGAAATACTTTGCTCTCTTTCTGCAGTTAAAAATTTTAAGATCCAAAAATAAATTAACACCTACAAAAATTAGCATAGTTTTGTTTCAGTAATATGACCACACAGTAAAAAATGGCTAGGTATATTTATGAATATATCTGAGTAAAGGGATCACATTGTTCCCTTTCTGTTAAATTCAGAAATGTTTTGGGTTCTGTCTTTTTGTTAATGTGGCCGGCAAACAATTGAATAACTTTGCTTTAGATAATACAACACATATGCATGCTACTGCCATTCAGATTTGTTTTGGCCAGTGTCCATTTTCACATTACTTTTAGTTCTTTTCTTTTTAGTCATTAAAAATATCTATGTTTGCCAAACTAGAATAGATATAGTTCAAATAAACTCTTTGCCTATATCACGATTGTGCCTGCTTTCTAACTTATCAATAAGTATAAATTTCACACATTTACTATCATCTTTAACTCCATTTTAGTCAAGAGTTCTTAGTCAAAAGGGTGTTAATGTTTACATGGTGAAACTAGCCTCAGATACTTGACACTTACTAGCTGTGTGACCCTGGGCAAGTCACTTAACCCCAGTTGCCTCATCAAAAAGAAACACACACGCACGCGCGCACACACACACACACACACACACACACACACACACACACACACACACATATTTACATGGTGATACTTACCAAGAAAAAAGGCAAAATTTTAAAAGAAAGCATAGTTTACAATTTTAAAAATTCATAAGTACTTAAATTGAACAGCTTTATATACCAATGAAATAATAAAATAATATTTTGGTATAACATTCCAAAAATATTTGTGACATATTCTCATAAATAGTAGGAAAAAGGGCCCATGTCTCTAAGCACCTGCATTTACAGTGCTCTAGATATTCCTCTACCTTAATAATTTTACCTTTTAGCCATAAAATATTACTGCAAAGTGAGATCTTGTACTTTCTAAAATATCTTTTTTAAAAAGTATTGTGGAGATTTTAAAATACATGAATATTGTTTTCTGTTGTGCCTGCTTGCATATGTAATAACTCCATTTCCTTTGATCTTTACCAAAGCTTAATTCTAATGCAGTGCTTCTGTCAGAATACTCTCTTTTCTCTCTTCCTATCTCTAATTCCTGCTTTATGAACTATGGCTATTATTGTTTGTATCTCCATACAAAGGTTCTCCTAGAGGAGAACAATATGTCATCATAGTGCTAATGCTGAGAATTACTATCTTAAATTTAGTGTAAACTGAGAAATTAATTCCCTCTTCTCTGTGTAATAGCTTGTATATGTTTTTGAGAAGTTCTTTTAAATTTCCCCCACCTCCACAATTAAAATTGATAAATATTCATAAAATATGCAGCTTATTTTGATAACCACTTTAATTTTTATCCCTCTCCCTCAAAGTAAAGCTTTCTCTATGAAGCTCTAACATAAAGATTAAAGGGAAAATAGAAGATTGGAAAAGGTTGTGAGGTTTCATATGTTACTAAGTAATACCATATGTTTCATTACAAGTGTACATTGTCTTTTCCTAGGAGAATTTTTATCATTTATAATTCTCAGCAATTCCAAGTGTATGTTCCTCACATTTGTCTTCAGTGCTATTCCAAGTATATTTAGATTTCATGGTACAGGTTTCATGATCATTATCACTCAAAAAGCATGAGAATAATAGATTTAGAATAGTGTACATAGCTGAAACTCAAACATATTCATTCCTGTCCTTAGTTTCAACATTTAACTCCCATCTGTTCTTCTTCCTTTTTTTCTTTCATTTCCCTGTTTCCGTTTTTCCTCATGCTCTGACATTAAAGTGGTTGCACTGAAAAGACTGCCCTTTTTGAGGAACAGACCGAAGGATAAAGACAAAATGAAGGCCTGCTACCGTCGCTCCATGTGTAAGACTTTATGACAGTTCAGCTTCTTTCAAATGGCTATACTGGCTTCCATTACTAATTTTTCACTAACCTTTTTCCTTGGACTGCACTAATTTTTGTACTTTGCAAGGTGCAGTCTTCCTACAATACAAGGAGCTGGAGCATTATTTTTTTTCAACCTGGCACTGAAATTATACTATATGCATGTTTGCTAATGCATATATACATGTGTACCAGGTTAGTACATACATGTTGTCTAAGTTTCTAGTGCAATTCAAATCTGAGAGGAAAACCCCTCCAAACCTGGGTTTGATATAACAGGGAATTCCTTAACGAGTTTTATTTTTTAAAAATGTATCTAAATTATTAGTTTGAGGCATTGGTTTTCTAAAATCTAAAATCTGGTGCAAGAAAAATAAAAAGGTCTGTGACCCTTGAAAATGTTTGTCATTCCTTCTTTTGTAACACTTTCTGTTTGGTTTAAAGAAAGTAGAATGGGTAATTGATTAATTTTATTAAAAGTGTATGGCTTTGCATACTATTGTTTTCTAGTTTGTCTTCCCGAATTTAATGTTTGCTTGATATACAAATAATTTATTCCTTCAGTAACCTACAATGACCAAGGACCCTTTACCATTTTCAACTTTAATATTATATTAGAACCTGTATCCATCTTACCTTTAATCATTCCATTTTGTCATTGCAAAACAACATACCAAAGCTTCTAACTCTATTGCATATCATTACAGCAAAAAAAGCATGACAGTTGTATATAAATAAATACCTTTCTGTGACTGCCAAAGGAAAAGTTAAGAAGTAAAAACACACATTCACTAAGAATTCAGCCTTTGGCCCCTGTAACACTTTTCATTCAGCTGAATGCATGTCTTAATGTGGGTGACCTTGACCTTATGGTTATAAAGCATTTATGTACAGTCACATTGATGCATAGACTGATGTCACACAGTTTATGATACAAAATAGGATTAAGAACAAATTCATTAAATCATGCTTATTCATATGCTTTCATTTGCATCCCAGCCATGAATGACCTGGTGCAATCCATGGTCCTAGCAGGAGGACAATGGACAGGTAGTTCTGAGAATTTGGAGGTTCCTGATGATATTTCTACGGGTAAAAGGAGAAAAGAATTGGGAGCTATGGCCTTCTCTACTACAGCTATCAACTTTGCAGCTGTCAACTCTTCTACAGGCTTCAGATCCAAGCAATTGGTTAATAATAAAGGTATAGGCAGTCTCTTTGAACTATAGTGTGACTTTGTTGGCTACAAGAATTTATTCTTAGTTGCTTTCTTTTGAATTATTTTCTTGGCCTACCTAAATTTCTACAAAGTTATCTGATAAGTTTTTTTAAGCTATATTAAAGCATTTCAAAGAACTGAAGGCATTGAATAAATAAGTTATGAAACTATACCAAAACAATTTTCGTTAGAAGCTGCAAAAATCCCAAAACAACATGGAAAGGAAAGGAACGGGGTGGGGGGGGAATCAGTGAAAGAGTCAGTGCAGCATAGGAAAAATAAGAGACAATAACTTCAGACAGGAGGAGCCACAAGCATCTATCAAGATACTTGCTTTCTAAGATCATAGGAAGATGCTCATGGTACTTTAAGGACCTTTCCCAAAGACATTCTACTTCCACTAAAACTACATAGTTTCTACCTCTTATCCCTAGCTTTTCTTTTAAAAAAATGCAAAATTCACTGTAATACTGCAACTTATTCAGTGAAATATGGTACATGATGAACAAGATACTAGAATGAATGAGAATTTCCATACACTTTGTAAGTGAAGACTTCTAATGAAATTTTTTTGATTAAAAATGTATTTTATCCTTTTTACTATTTTATGTGTAGATACCACATCATTTGAAGATGTAAGTCCACAAGGTATTAGTGATGATTCTAGTACGGGATCAAGAGTTCATGGTAAGAAGTGGACTTTTAGTTAATGCATAGTGAATGCAGAATGGGAATGTTAAGAATGTTGCATTATGTAGGTGAATGACAGCATTTCAAGAAAGCATGTGCTTATATAACTTCAGTATTTTTCAACTGCTCTTTTAACTTCTTCAATTCTAACACTTCCTTTCTAAAGGATATTGCTTCATCTAAATAAATGTTTTCTATTTTTAATCATTTTCATTTTTGAAGTGTGCCTGAACAGGATCCAAAAATGGAGGTGGGGGAGTTTGGCCAGTTTCACCAGTATTGGGATAAAGTTATGAATTAGATGTTTTACTATTTTTTTAAAGTTCCAATTTCTATTTCGAAAAAGTTATTAGAAAGCATTTTTTTTACAAAATAAATCATTTTAGAATAGGCAAATTTCATTTTATGAATCAGATTAATTGAAAATCATTTTATCATTATTCAAATAAAATAGCATAGGACACTGTTAATGTAATTGTTTCCCTTATATTGGATAGGAGTACTGGACATTAAATGTGCAGACGCTCATACTCCTCCTGTTCGTGGCATCGCTACAATGTGCAGGGTTCCTTGTCAGATCTGTTGTAAGTGATATAATCACCAGCATTTTTCTGCATGCCATTCTATTCAACTAATGCAGACTTGGTTTCTATCTCACTTGCCATTTTCACTTTTAATATGCATTTTCTCTTTTCCTTTTCTTTAAATTCAATTTTCTAGTACTGCTCTTTTCTGAAGTATGTCCTCTTGAACAGCTTGGAAATTCCTTCTCTTTCTAATCTGAAAGAATCAATCTTTAGTTACATTGGGCATGCTCAAGCCTGTGAAATCATGCATGATTGCTACCTCAGAGCATTCAGGAACATCTGCTGGATTGGACATCTTATGTTGTCTCCTGGTTTGTTTGTTTGTTTGTTTTTTTCTTCATTTAGCTTCCAGGCCAGCCAGCCTTGATAGTGGTAGAACATCCACTAGTAATAGCAATAATAATGCTTCACTCCATGATGTCAAAGGTATGCTGTAGGAAAATAATAGTAATGTGCTCCATCTCTTCCTGTTATTTAAATGGGATTTAGAGTGATATGTCTTTGATATGATGAAATAATGAAGCTGTGTGTGAAATCTTCTATTGAAAATATCTTTTACTTTGGGCATTGTAAGAAATGTGTAAATACTTTTTACACACTTACAAATGTATAACACTTTTCAAAACCTATAGGCACATGTAAAGAGGGAGTCAGATGGAATTTTAATTTCCGTTTTTTATCTTTACAGAATCATCAAGTTTGTAGTAAAAATATTTGTAAAGGTTCTTAGATACAAACACTAGGCTTAGTCTTCAGCTTGGAAAGAGGTGTCTGATTTTTAATGGTTAGTGTATATTGTGAGTGTATTAAAATCTCATTATTAAAAGTATATAAAGCAATTTCTAAAAGCACATTTGAATAATTGAATTAATAGCTTAATATTATAAAATTTTGAACATCCTAAAGAATGTTAGTTAATCAGAGCACTTGGCTTTCTTCATTAATTGATAAATAGTGAAGTATCCTTTAATTTGGAAAGAACATGTATGTATATATGTATTAACATACGTGCAAAAGTGTAAGTTACATGAATAATTTTAAATTAAATAATATTATAATGAAATATTACATGAAAATGTAATATTGTGTGAAAAAAGAATATGTTGAAGCTTCTTTCTATTAAATTTTGGTATTCATTTGAGAATCATGCTTCATTTCACAGTAAGGGTTAGGAAAGTCTAACTTACACTTTTTATCTTGGAGCTTGTATGTCACATTAATATGAAATTAGCCTTGTTATTTATAAAATATGAAATATTGAAAAAGTCTTTTTTACAAATGAACTGGGTTTCCATGGATGGTATTTAGTGGTCTTTATTTGCCCAGGTTATTTATTTTCAAAAACTCCCATCTTTTCAACTAATTAATATAATAAGATTTTACTCAGTTTGAACTAGAGTTTCTTCCCATTATCCATTTTGGAAATAGTGTCAACTTTTTTTTAGTCCAGTTAGAGTGATATGCAGTCTGATAAGAACCAACAGTTTCCAAAGGTATTTGACCTAAGAAGTATCATATTGAGTAACAACTTAGAGCTTGTAGAGTTGTTCAGCGTCATTTCAGTTATTGCAGTTAAATATCTGCACACCAATATAGAACTGAATCAGTTATGTATAACAAAAGCCAGTTTTTAAAACACTTTCAGTTTTTTAAGGTAAACCTTTTTTTTGTTTTGAAATATCTAATACCACTTTATATTTGTATAACATTTTACAGCTTACAAAGTATTTTCATATAAATATCAATATACAAAGTCCCACAAAGTAGATAAAGCAGATGTTATTATTCCTATGTTCTCATCTTTACATAGAAGGAAATCAAGTTTCAGGAGGCCTTAGTTACTTGTACAGGGTCACACATCTAATTAAAGGGCAGAATTGGTATCAGAACTCAGCCTTTCTGAGTTCTTTCTATATTGCTCTTTAATTATTGGAGGTATCAACTCTCCATTTTAGTTTGCTTTGTAAATATATTGTTTAGATTTCTGATATTTTTATTTTCTAGGTGGCACAGTGGATAGAGTGCTGGGCCTGGAATCAGGAAGACCTGAGTTCAAATCCAGTCTCAGACATTTATTAGCTGTGTGACCCTAAGCAAGTCACTTAACTCTATTTCCCTCAGTTTGCTCATCTTTAAAATGAGCTGAGGAAGGAAATAGCAAACCATTCCAGTATCTTTGCCAAGAAAATCCCAAATAGGGTCACAAAGACTTAGAGATGACTGAGCAACAACATAGTTTATATAAGAGCAGAAGAATTTCTCTAAGTAAAAAGATGAACCTGTCAGCTTTCAAAGGATAAAAAAGAATTTTATTTAACTGCAGAAAATTAGGGGGGGAAAAAAGTCAGCAACTTAGAATTGTCAGCAATTAGAACTGGCTTCTAATATTCTTCAGAACATTTTAAATGCTTATTCCTACTTTTCTATTTACATCCCCAGAACTTAACACCGTACTTTTGCACATAGTACTTGCTTACTGAATGCTTTTTCTGTGATTTATTCATAAATACTAATAAATGAAGCTTAGAATTTTTCCTGTGTAGGCTAAGTTATGAACTGTTTAAATTATTTGTGTAAATCATTTTTTTAAATAATGAAACCACAGTCTAGCGACATCTTTAAAATGTTGGTAGCATGTTTTCAGAACCATTTCTAAAATAACGTTTGAGGGTAAGTATAGCTATGGTTAAAATGAGGACCCAGACAAATAAATAATATTTGAATGGTTTCTGCCTTATTTCTGTTAAAAGAACTTTTAATACCATTTGCTCCAAAAGCAGGTGCAGTTAATAGTCAAAGCAGACCACAAAGCCACAGCAGTGGAGAATTTAGCCTACTTCAAGAACATGAGGCATGGTCCAGTAGTAGCAGCAGTCCAATCCAGTACTTGAAACGATATACCAGATCAAGTCCTGTGCTCCAGCATAAAATGCCCGAAACATTAGATAGCCGAGCACATCACAAGATGAAAATTGGTTCCCCTGGGAGTGAAGTGGTTACTCTACAACAGTTTTTAGAAGAAAGCAACAAGCTTACCTCAATACAGGTAAGGTACAAAGAAAAGATTTTTAAGGATGTTAACAATTTCATTATGCTAGTATAGGGGAAAAAAACAACAAACAACTTACTTTTGAAGGGGCACAGCTGTTTTTATAATTGAGGGTTTTTATTTTGTTTTCTAGTTGAGTGGCAGAAAGGAGTTTTTGGAATTTCACAGCTAGTTCTATATACATGTGTGTGTATATTACATATTTGTGTGTTCATGTTTGTATATGAGTAAATGTATGTAAAGCTTTTTTTGTGAGGAGGAGGCTTAATTGTGAACAAAAATGGTTTATGCTAATGTCTATGATCCATGTAATACAAAAGATGCCAATATAAGACATGTTTAGGCATCATGCTGCCTATTATATATTGGTTCACCTGAGGTTACATGACGATGGCAAGTAGTGACAAAACTGGAATGAAAACTGAGAAGCTACCATTAAGGCTAATAAAACTTGGCCCTCTAATTTCATTTGCGTGAGTGAAATTTATGTGACATATCAGCAGCTCTGTTGTAAGTTAACTTCTAAGGTACTAAGGCTTAAGTGACTTGTGTGCATCAGAGACAAGATTTGAATCCAGTTTTTCTTGACAAAAGAGTTTGGTTTTTATAATAGAGAACAAGGGAGTGACATGACTGGGCCTGAGCTTTAGGAATATCAGGATTGGCCATCTTATGGAGGGATTGGAGAGGAGTGAGACTAGAGGCAGAGAGGTCATTTAGGAGACTATTACAGTAGTCCAAGTGAGACTCAATGAGGGTTTAACTTGAGTGGGGTTTGTACAAAAGGAGAGGAGACTGATTCAAGAGATGTTGTAGACCTAGAATTGAAAGCCAATTGCAACTGATTAGATATGGAGAGTTTGAGAGAGTAGAGGATAAACTTTGAAATCATAACCCTAGAAGAAGAGTGGTGCCTTCAGCAAAAACTGAGAAGTTGGGAAGAGGGATAGATTTGGTAAGAAAAGATAAACTCTTTTTGGACATGTTTACTTTAAGATACCTATATGACATCTAGGTGGAGATTCCGGAAGGCAGTTTTATGACGTGACACTGCACTCTGTATTCATGCTATCCAACCATACTTAGAGGTTAAGTAACCTTTAACAGTTTCCTTCTTACCACCTAGGTAGCAATATGCATATTCATAGAACATAGCCATCTCTAAAACTCTTCTCAAAGACAGATTCATCGTGCCCCTACAATCTGGAAAATCCACATAAAATTTTTTTGAGCCTTTCTTCATACCAGCGAAGAAGTCTGATTTTTTTTTCTTTTATTGTAAAATTTAGGTTGATATTATTCAATACTATGCATTTATTTTATGCACAAAAAAAGAATATTCTTCATCAAATCAAGGCCATGGGAAAAAAGGTTCGTCTTGTCTGAGAATGTACAAATTAGGAGAAATGAATATGTACTTGTAGTTTTCTAGCAAATCTGTGTTGGTATAGCAATAATTCTAAATATTTTTCAGCTGGATTGAGCCAGTGTTGTTATTTTTTTAAACATTTCTACCCTAGCAGCTAGGTGGTGCAATGGATAGAGTACCTGCCCTGGGGTCAGGAGGACCTGAGTTCAAATGTGACCTCAGACACTTGACACCGACTAGCTGTATGAGCCTGGACAAGTCACTTAACCCCATTGTCTTACACCCCCCCTCAAAAAGAAAACTTCTACCATAAAGTCTTATTAATTCTCATATTCAAAAGTTATGTTAATTCCAGTCAGATTTATTAGATCACTTCTGGAGTATTATATAATATAAAAGTTCTTTTTAACACATTTTAGGAAGGACAAGGAGCTCTAATCTAAGTTTTGTAAGCTTGTCTTATGATAATGCTATTCTAGCTGTTGCTGTTCATTATAATAAGGTGTGCCAAAAGAGATGTGTCTCATTTTCATAGAAAGAAGTAGAAGTCCATTCATGTGAATAACTCGCATATATAGATTGCTTAACGCTTTTAAGAACTTTCCTCACGACAGCTTTGTGATATAGATAGTACACATATCATTGTCACCATTTTACAGATGCAGAAAATGAGACTTGGATAGGTGAAGTGATTTGCCCATAGGCAGCAGTTAGTATCAGAGTCTAGTAGCAGTCAGGTCTTAAAAATTCAGGTCAGAGCCTCTTACTCATACTCTGCTCTTTACATTAAATACAGCACTTAAAACACCCACACATTTTCCCTTTACATGCAAATACATATTTGCCATAAAAACTTTGATGAAAATGTTAATTTGTAATTAAATGCAGTAATATATCAAAAAAATAGTATATGGTTAACCATTGATCTGTTACTGATTTTATTGTTGTTATTGTTATAGATGAAGTCTTCAAGCCAAGAAAATCTTTTAGATGAAGTAATGAAAAGTTTATCTGTCTCCCCTGACTTTATGGGAAGAGAAAAGGCAGTTAGCTGTGGTCTTGTTAGGTCAATAAGTGGAAAAACCATAGCTGACTTCTCTGATGGACGGTCAACTAAGGCTGAACAGTTTGTAAGGCCTAGTCCTCGAAAGACTGAAGATTCTTACTTCGTTAGTTCTCCAGGAAAATCTACATCAAGCACTCAAGGAAAGGTCAAGTTAATAAAAGAAACCTTTATATCACAACGACAATCAAAAGATAGTAACCCTTATGCTACTTTACCTCGTGCAAGCAGTGTGATCTCTACAGCTGAGGGGACTACTCGAAGGACAAGCATTCATGACTTTTTGTCCAAGGACAGTAGACAGCCTGTGTCAATTGATCCATCACCAACTACAGCTGATAACATCCCATCAACATCTAGTGAGTACTGTGTACACCAACAGCCCCTTGATTTATTTTGCAGTTCCACAAATACTATAGATTCCCATTCACAAAGTGGTTTAATCACAGATACGCATTCAACCTATGTCATGTCTACCTCTGCTCAAACTAGAAATTCAAAAATTGAAAGGTCAAATTTTCATGACAAAACCTTTGCAACCATTAATGTGTGTAGTGATACAGTGGGAATATCAGCTAGTGAAAGTGCAGCACCCTTTTCTGTTACTCAGATAGCCCAGCCATTTTTATCCCTGAATACAGAATTAGTTAGTAACATAAGTGGGTTGCCCCAAAGACCAGCCATCCAAACTAATGATCAGACATTTGTCTCATCACTTAAAGCTGTACAGAAAGATAATGAACAGCCTTCTGAGAATCAGAAGTCTAGTAATAGTAACCCACAGTCTTGTCTAAATAGCAGTGAAATTACTACTCTTTCATGTCTAAATCCTGGTGAGACAGAACCCCCATTATTGGTCTCTGAAGATAATCAGACTGTTTGGTATGAATATGGTTGTGTATGATAAAAAACACAGAATTTGAAATGTATGTCATTTCATGTGCTTTGTGTGATCTATTACCTAATTTAGGAAGCTTTTGTGGTTAGGTTTACGTTTTATTTTTGAATGGTGGTATCGTGCTTAGCATGTGTATGAATGTAAAATTGTAACCATACCAAAGCTTGCATGAAATATTAATTGCACTGTATATTTTTGCATGCCTTTGCCAGCCTTAACAATCCAAGCTTAATGTTTCATATTTTTGTTTATCATATGACAAAAATATTTTGTTACCTTTGTTTTACCTAGAGCATGTTAAAGAAATTGCATGCCATGCTACAGAGAAGGAACCTCTGAACTAAATTTCAGCAAAAGAAATTGTATTCTCCTTTTTTTGTTGCATTATCTATATATACTTTATACAAATAAGTCAGAAGATTCATTTTCTCTTTTATTGTAGAATATACATATTTCATCTTGCACATGTACAGTACTAATGAGAAAAATATATAGGGAGATTTCCAAGTCTTTTACTAGTTATTTATGATATATGTCTTGTCATTTTGCTTTTTGTGCAAATTATAGTTAATTCAAACAACTAGTTTGCATTGCAAATATGAAACACAGGATCCATATTTATAAACATTGTTCAAATTTGAGGCATTGTTAACACTCAAACATGAATGAGTTTTTTGAGTGCTTAATAAAATTAATTATAACTAGGAACTTTTTCCTTAATTTTTTTTCCTACTCTTTCAGTCCTCTCTGGTGTATAGAATTGCTCAATACTATTATTTCTGTTTAAGATGAATTTTTCCATAGAATCAAACAGTACAATAACTTTCTTTACTTTTCTAGTATAATAATGATAATAAACAGTCAACATTGTGGTGGAATTCTTACTTTTGCTAATATTGAAAAACATATAAGTTAGAAAATGGAGGAAAAGAAGTCTTCAGAGTTTATAGCTCTATGATCACTATTTCAAATAAAATATTTGTTAGTAAAATGAAGATTTTGAAAATTTTTCAATATTTATGTTTAAACCTCTAAAATTATAATTCAGAGTTTTAATATTACCTTCTTTGTGCACAGTATGATTTCTTATATTTAAGTATATGCTAGCAAGTTTTTGTGGGATTTTTTTTTCTGTAGAAAGAGTTTGAGAAAAATTACTTGTTAAGTCCTATAACTCAGGTACAGCATGTCTTTGAAAGTAGAGCCAGTCAAATTTGTTCTTCTTTAATAGATAAATGTTTTATTGTTTTTTTTCAACATGTCTGTCACTTCCCAATGACTTCTCTCACACAGAATAGAATGCTCTCTTATAACAAAGATGTAAAGGTTAAAAAAACCCCACAAATCAACACTTTGGTCATATCTGACAAACTATGTATGCCTCTATCCATATTGGTAATCTGCCACCTCTTTGTCAGACTTCCTCTGAAGTAAATTTGGTCATTGATATCTTTCAGTATTGTTTTCTTTTACCTTATTGTGGTTATCTTTTAAATTGTTCCCTTTGTTCTGCGTACTTCACTCAGCATCACTTGAGATAAACTTTCCCAGTTTTCCCTGATATTTACTATTTCCTGGGTACAGTAATACCTCATTACATTCAAATACCACAGTTTGTGTAGCCAGTTTGCAGTTGATGAGCTGTTTTCAAATTTTTTGCCATTTTGAAAAGTAATGGCATAACTATTTTGTATATATGGCACCTATGTCAAATTATTAAAACTATAAAATTGCAACTTTGATCCAGTTCCTTCCAGAAAGTAAATTGGACTTCAGATCTGCGACTCAGTTTTACAAGCTTATTCAATCTGATTATGGCCAAAAGCAGTTTAATCTGGTGCCCAGAAATCTGGTGTCTTGAAGTGGGACTTTTTAAATAATAGAAAATTATCAGAGAAAAATAAATGAAAAACAAAAATTCTAGAGATCCTTTGCTTAATAAAGCATATTTTAGATATTAGTCTTTCTATACTCAAAGGACAATATTCGAAAGGGCTAGGCCAATCCCATTCCATGTTTTTTGGCCTCCTATATGTTTCATAGTTAGTTATCCCTAAAAAGAGTCTTGCTACAGATGTAATATAGAGGGATAATCAGTATCTCTCATATCTTATCCTCCTTCCAAACACATTTTCTACATGAGGAATGAGTCTCTTTTTCTATGCCACTTTTGTAACACAATCTCAGCATTTTCAGTGTTCATTGCTATTAGTACTATAACCTAAAAAGCAGATTCAACCCATGCAACTTGTAGAAACAACAAATATGCTTATATAGATGTAGATGTCACTAAATTTATGAAAAACATACTATAATGTGTCCATCTTTGTAGCTTTATCATAATTGATATTATTTTAGATACAATGAGTCTACTCAGAATCTTTACCTTAAAAGGTCTTAAGACATTAACTTAAAACACAAAGAATATATTATGTTAATAACTAATCCACTGGCAGATTAAACTTTTAAGAAATCAACATGTCCATAAATAGCTAAATCTGACTCACTTTATTCATTTGCATTCACTTACTAGCCTAGTTTATTCCTTTAATATCCTGTTACAAAATAATAGCGTCAAAATATGCACAGTAGTCCATTTTGAAAAGTAATGCTACTTCAGATATTGTCCTGTGCCACTACTTAAATATTCATCTTTTCAAAAAGAGCTTTATTAGCCTTCTCGGGTTTGAATTATGAGAACACTCCTGGATTATTGCATGTATATTTAACCACTAAAAAAAATTTAGAAGTTTACCTGAAAGATTTTATTTCTCACATTTAGCTCTCTGAGGAGCTATTTTTACATAGTTATAAGTATTACTTTGCATATATGTATATAAGTATGTGTGTGTATATATGTACCATTCTCAGAATACATATTCAGACACAGATATTACATATAATAAATGACAGTGCTATGGATCAGTTTTTTAAAATAATTGAGAATTGAAGATAAAACTTCCCTCAGAGACCATCAGCCCCTATAAAGACAATCAAAAGCTTGCCCCAAAATACTAAAAATTTTGTACCTCTATTTTTCTGTCTTACAGAACCATTGTATTTTTAGAGCTCCACCTCTTCATTCTACAGATGAGAAAACTAATGCATCTGAAACATTTCAGGCCCAGATTCCAAGAAATCATTTCCAAAAGCCTTTTTAATATCTTGCATTCATTGTAGTAAACATTCTTGGTCCAAAGCAAATTTTAGATGTTGTTTGTTATGAGCAATTACTTTTTTTCTTTATAAGGTTTTCTTGAACTCCTGTTTTTATTAGTAAAGAATAAAGATATTGCATTGTGCATGTTTTATCTATTGCATGCAAGAATTATTTTCTGCTTTACAAACAACACAACCATTCAAGTGTATAAATGTAATACTTAAACCTACTAGACATTAAAAAGTTGAAAATATAAATTTTATTTGGTAATAATTATATCCTTTTTAAATTAAAAAAAACAAACATTAATTCAGAGTCACACTGCCCCAAAAAATCACTAGGCAGTTTTGTGTGTGTGTGTGTATGTGTGTGTGTGTGTATTTTTTTTTCCTTTTCCCTGCTCAGTGGGATTTTCTTTTGGTTTATCATTTCCATGAACTGTGATTTGTTTTAATCCTTGGCTAATTAAATAACATGAAATGCTTTTTTCCTGCAGATGTGGACACTATACAAGAAAGCAGGAATTCAAAAAGCAGGTCTAGGGAGCAACAAAGCTCCTAATTCTATTACCCCCACTAGATGAGATGTGGGCCAAGTGGTGAGTTTCCTGCCCAAAATGTAAATGAGATTAGTCTCATTTATTTAAAAAAAAAAACTAACAGCATTAAGTGTGAGAGTAAGTGCACATTGCATTAACCAGATGTAAATATTGCTTGCTTAATTAATTGGTTTTCTCTCTTTACTATGAAAGTCATACTATACTGTTGTCATTTGTTTTGCCTACCTGGGCAAGGAGCAAAAAAAGCCTTCCTTAAAAGTAATTGTTTGTATGGAGAAGGGAGGAAAGGGAGAGTGGTCTGCAAAATAACGTTTTCTTTATATAAATTTAGTCTTGCTGTTTAATAACTTTCTAGAATTGTTTACTTAAATGGATTTTTTTAAAAAATCAGCTTCTGAAAATTTAAAGACATCTACATCTAAAAAGTTGTAATTGAATGCCTTTTCTTTCAACCAGAGGGAAAAAATTGTTTTCACAAACAAAGTATAATTATTAGAGGAACTGATTGGTAATTTTGGTAAAGTAGTATATATTTTGAAGGTTTGATATTTTTAAGCCCTTCTAGGAAAAATTGTGTCTGTCATTCTATCACTTTATTATCCCTGTTAAAATTTGTCTGGTGCATGCTGCTAGTTCTTCAGTACCTATTCTGTATTTTAGATCTCTTGAAGCCTTTAAGCTCTTCTCATATTTTCTTTCTTCTTTCTACCTTTTAACTAAACAGAGAGAGAAAGTGTCCTTCAATATCTCAGTATGAAGCCTTTATTTCTGAAGTAACAAGACAGCCAACTGTAGAAGTCATTTAAAACAAACAAAAAAAACCTTAAGGGAACTTTTAACAATCCTTCGTGAATGAATAGAGCAGGCAAGAAATGCAAACCTTCCTTTCTTCCTTCCTTGAATCAAGGAACACTACCGGAACCAACTGCCAAAATTTTTAGAAGGTCTTAGGACTTATAGCACTTTGAACTGTTAAGATCTACTGAATAAAGGACAGTTCTCTCCGTGAGAACTAAGTGTTTTATTGTTTCAAGAATTACTCCAAGAACAATCTACTTTCATCATTTGTTCATGAATTTAGCCATTGGTTGCTTAATGCTTCTTCTAATTAGGCCAAATCTAGCCGTTTATATTTAGTTCTGTAAATCTGAATTAATGCTGTTGTATTTTGTGGATTGTACTATATATCCAGGTACAAAAAAAAAATTGGCATGTCACTGCCTATTTTTGGTTGGCAGACTGCATGATGTTACTCTTTTAAAAATCCTTCCAATTATTTTGGTGCATACTACAAGAAAAATTAAGTTTATGAGAAGACATGTTTGAGAACTCTATAATAAAATAGGAGTTATTAAAAATTAGCACTGAAATTCATATGCTTTCCATGTTCACCATTCATCATCAAAGAACACTAAGCAAACATACGTGGATGTGGATGTAAGCCGGTTAATGAGTGATTTTCTGGAACTTTTAAAAATAAGGTGGTTTCCCTTCCTCCTCTCCCTTACTCCTTCAGCATATGGCATTCCCAGGATAAAGCTGTCTTACTCTAAATACTTAAACTCATTTTCTTTCTTTGGTATTGAGGTTTTTTAGTTTTTGTTCTTTTTACATGAGAGCTAACTATTGCTTAAGAGGTTTTCTTATGGCAAAAGATAATGTAAATAATTTCATATGATCCACATTTTGCCAGGGACCGATTTAATTATTGAGAATCATTTATTAATAGACTTTTTTGTCCTTTGTAACCTTACATTAAAATTGATAACTATTATTGGTACTTTTGAAATATTTGTATGCATTTGTTACCCTAAACATTTGCAAGAAGCACAAAAGAATAAATTTAGTTAACCCAAGGACATATATGTGGACTTTGTAGTAATTCCCATTTTATATTAATAACAGTTTTATTTTCTTAATACAGAAATGAAAATGCCTATTAATGGGAATTGATTATTCAACCTCAGTCTGCATTTATACAGAGTTTCTTAACATTCATACAAGTTTGAAATGGGAAATAAGTTGTTTTTTTTTTAATGTTAGCTCTTTACTTCTTAGGCTCTCAGTATCAGCTACAAAGACATTTTTGAGATATTTCCATATTTGATGATGTATTTCTATATGTGGTTTATGAACTGCTTGTTTCATCGCTGATGTAGCAGTCATACAAAAAGCCTCTTTTTGTTGTGTGATTGCCACTAATGATATTGTACTTACATACTGTTTACTCTCAGAGAAACCCAAATTCCAATATAGAGAGACAGCATGATGTTTTAATCAAAAAAACAGGGTAGCTTGGGTCTATCCTTAATGCCACTTTTACTTGGTTTTGATTTTTCCATTCATAAAACATATTTGCTACCATATGATATTGTAAAGTTAAAACAACTCTGATGCCCTTGGATGAAAGGTGCTATGCAAACATAAAGAATTGTTCTAAAACACGAAACTGCACAGGAGACTATGTTTCAAATCTATTCTATAGGTATTCAAAACATTGTTTTTACATCATTAGGTGACCAGAATGGCTTTTAGACTAAAAGATTAAATGAGCAGTGGATAGCACCCCAATCTACAGAAACTTACATGTAATAAACATAAATCTCATTACAAGTAATAAATCTGAAAATAAAAGTAAAAATTATGTTTTAGTTAAATTATTCAATTAAAAAGAGACTTAGATTTCTATCAAATTGTATCTGCTTGGGGCAGCTAGATGGTGCAGTAGATAGAACAC